TTTCCTTCCAGTTCCAGGACGCGCCTTCTCAAATCAATCTTCTTCGTCTTTAATTCTTTATTTGTTGCTTTCACCTCTTTCAGTTCCTGCTTTACCTTTGCCATCTCGTCTTCCGCCTTCTTCAGCTTTTCTTCAAAATCTGTGCGCTGAAGGAAAATCTCACCCTCCAGGTCCACGATGCGCTCTTTTAGATAGCCAACCATCCCTGCCACATAGAAAATATTACATCAAAATGCTTGAAACCAAGTTTTACACACATAAAGCATATTGTAATCACTTACCAGGAACAGACATGATGAACTGGTTGGCGATGCTCAGTTTCCCAGAGGTTGACAGCCACTTGTCCATCAGAAGCTCTTCAAAGTGGGGACCTATCTCTTTTCCCTTCGCGTACATATCCGCATCAAAGCCCCAACCTTCCCTAACATAAACCAATTCTGGAAAACCCTCATCAGTCATTGAGGATTTTCTCTTCTTTCCTTGCGGTGAGTCCTCCATCTCTTTCTTTTTGGGGGAGGCGACATGGGTAGCTGCAGAGGGAGGACCAGGCGACTTCATTCGAGCGGCAGCACCCTCACTTGATTCAGCACCAGCTGAAGGAGCAGCAAGGGGGGCACGTTAGGAACATAAGGGTAGGCATCTCCAGCAGCTCGCATTGCCGCTATCTTCTGCAGCCTAGTCAAATAAGCAGCCATTGAACTATCTGCAAAGAATTAAAGAGTTCGCGTTAGATATATACAGAAATAAATAAATAAATAATTCCTTCAGATAAAACCACAACAAATAAAAGTCAATTTACCCAAGAAGGCTCGGATTATCTGATAAAACCACAAATAAAAGTCAAATAAAAGTCAACAACAAATAATTCCTTCAGATAAAACCACAAGAAATAATTCCTTCAAAATTGTAAAGTTACTTAAGTAACCTGAATCATCTGATGCTTCTAGCGCGATATTACATAAAGTAGTCACTGTGTGTTGTTCGTAATCACTCAAGTCATCAAAGTTATTGTTCAATTTTTGACCCTTTAATGGTTGTTGGGTCCAGTATAAAGGAAAAACAGGAAAATTGTCTTCTCTGTTCAAGAAAAATGGTTGGGAATCTTTGGCGGGGAAAATCTTAAAGTCGTCTGTAGACCACTTGGGAAGCGCAGAACTTCCACTTATCTTTCCCTCTGAAAGAGACCCAGCTGGAATACGGTCCCATAACGTTAAACAAACATAAGAAAGATTTTGGAGATTGAAACAGATTATAAGCTTGACAAACCATCTCATAAACTCGTACAAAACCCCAGGCATTAGGAGTCAATTATGAAGGTGCCACGTTTATATGCGCCAGCAACCTACAAACGAAGGAGGAGAACGACATACGTACTCCTAATGACAGAAAAAATAGGCATACATCATTATGAAATGCCTAGAAGATCCCTCAGCGTGCGCTGAACAGACCCGTTCATTTAAGGGGACGACATCTATCTCCCACTTGTCATCATGAGCTTTTTCAGGGGTGATGTGGATGAAAACCTTTAATTGTGCCAATTCTTCTGAAGAACTATATATGGAGGAAGTATCCAGAACAGTGTCCGCTACCCAGCTTAAGGATTCTTCATCCCGAAGATTACGCTTGATCGGAGATTCTTCAGGATCAATCTGTAGCGCTTTCTTCTTCGCTCAGGATTAATCTGTAGTGCTTTCTTCTTCGCTCAGGATTAATCTGTAGTGCTTTCTTCTTTGCATCAGGATTAAGCTTTTGCTTTTTATTCTTGTCACCAGCACCGCGCCTTGCCATGATTTCTTTAATTTTAGGCAAAACGAAATCTGATTCAGAAGAGGAGGAATCAGTAGAGACAGACAAGTCAAAAAGAAGAGACATCAAATGCAGATTTATAATTGTCAAAATTCCTTTTCTTATTTGGGTACCCCGCTGGGTATATCACATTTAAAGACAAGAGAGTTGGACTCCTTTGACCCGGTTGATCTCGCGTGATGGGATAAGAAGTTTCGCGCGATGAAGTTGAAGGGGAAGATTCGGGGTTTACGGTATTAACAGACCTTTGACTACAATCAGAACTCGAGGCCGAATCACTCGAAATCAAAATCGGACTAGTCATTTTAAAGGAAACTTTTGGAAAAAGGGATGAGCTTTGTTGAGACAGTGTTTTTGTTATCTCGCGATTAGGTTCTCGAGAGGAGGAACCTACTTCAAACTGTCGAACAGAAGGCGCACAGTTATCGTTCAAAATTAATTCCTTCCAGGGGCAGCACACTTGCCAGTAAGCCACGCTTTCCCGGTTCCTAAAGACCTCGACCTAGGCAAAGACCTGGGAGGAGGACTGGAAGAGTCAGACCTCTCGACTATTCTGATAAAGTTCACAAATTTACGACTATCAGACATACCCACAGCTCGAAAATCCAGAAGAGAGCAAATAAACAGAGCAAGAACACAGAATATTAACAGTAGGGAAAGGAACATACCTCCAATATATACTTCAGATAAACGGAAGGAGGACAGAACGTGTCACCACCAGAAATCACAAGCAGGGGAAGTAAGGTCTCTCATGGTCACGATAAGTGCTCTGCGTGCTTTCCCTCCACACTCAGCAGCTCAATACAAATATGAAAACTTTACCAAACGGATACCCAAAAAGTTAAAACATGTTGTGTAAAACGGATAATAAGAGGGACACGTAGGAAAAAGGTAAAACGTTTTAACTTTAAAACAGCCCACGATTGTCATTAAACACCCACGTAATTACAGTAGCAATAAATGCTTCTGGCAGTTAACATCTAATCAACCATTTTTAAGCGGCTGAGTCATGATGACTCTTCGGCATGGTTATTGCGACATCAAAATAATCGCGCTAAAAGGGTATATCGCGCACAAATACATATATATATCTCACAGTTTTGCCACATACCAAACCTGCGAGCTAGGGGGCAACTATCTGGATAAAATATAATGAGCCCATTAAAGGCCCACGTACATAAGGACAAGACCCAAAATCCTTAAAGACCAATATAAGGCGCGATGACACACATCGAGCATAAGCATGGCGCGATGACACCATCGTGCACAAAACCGCCTATTAACATAACTTCAGAGTTAAGGAAGCCAACATTGGAGCTAATAAAGGTCTACCGTGCCTTAAGCAAATAGACAAAGGACAGCACCAGCTCACCACTACACTATCAAAAGTAGCTTGGCATTAAGAGATAAGCCTATTAAGGCACAGGTTGAACCTGCATCCCTTAAACGGCCAATCAGAGGCCACACCGCCTTCACCAGGCGGTATCACAACCACTATATAAACAGAGGGTACATGCCCAGGTATGATAATTTATTCAGTAAGAATATACATACACCTGCTATTGATACTGACTTGAGCGTCGGAGTGTCATCGCAGGTACCCCCAGTCTGAATCATCACGCCAAAGGAGAACCAGAGTCCTCACATCATCAACTACAACCTCAAGCCTAGAAAGCCGATCATCCCAAAGGCCTTCTCCATCAACCGTGTGTGATTTGGCCCAGTACACATTGACCAGCCCATACTGTCTTTGGTCTATCAACATCTAAATTGTAATGGGTAATTTGTAATATTAATTGCTTCAAGTTAGAAAAATCAATATATTGATGTAATTACTTTAGAATATATCATACGTAATTACAATCTAATATTAGTATGAAAGAAGCTTATTTTGAAAGAAAAAGAATAAATGTGGAAGTACCCTGTAATATGATACCGTATACAGAAATCTTTGTTTTATATAATAATATTATATTGAAATTATTGGGTCATATACTAAGTAAGAATAAGATGAGCATATTTTTGTTTTAAGGCAGCACTTTATACTGCATTATTTATGAATCAATATCTCTTGAAGTTAGGTTAACTAGTATACTAGTTACTCAAAAGGAAAATATTGAATAGTAAGACTTTTTTTATTTTTTTTAAATAACTTTTATCCGAATGATTTGGTATCATTTTTTTAATTTTCAAAGGTTAAATGATGCTTATTACTTAAACTTATCTAAATATCATTTTTTTTAATCTTAGCGAATTCTAAAAATTATCCTACTCAAAAATATGTTTTAAACTCCAAACGGTCAATTTCATCAAATTAAAATAAAGTATTTTTTTTACCCAAAAAAGTAAAAAAATAAAAAAAAAGTATTTTATATAAAGGAATACCCAGATGCATTCTTAGACTAGATGCTACGATCAAAGGCAATATATATATATATATATATATATATATATATATATATATATATATGAATTCTTAGACTAGATGCTACGATCAAAGGCAATATATATATGTGTGTGACTTATCATTTCTCAAGCTGTTTGAGATAATCTTATCTTCGGCTACTAAATCATAACCGTACAAAGATGGATCAATGGTGATAAAGGAAGAGAAAGAAAAACTGAATCATAACTATTCAAAGGTAAATCAATTAATATAAGAAAATAAATAAACAAAACGACGTAATTTTTGGTGACCGGAGATAAACTTATCTCAAGTTGCCGGAAAAATATTTTTCTCATATATATATATAGGGATGGCACAACATGCACACCTTAAAACGATCAAGAACATTCTATTGAAACAATTCCGTCGAGGATCTTCCATGCAAAACTGTATTCCAATTGGATTACATGATTTTGTTTATTTTTTGGGTTTCCTTTTAAAAACAAAGCACAGAGGGATGGCACAACATGCACACCTTAAATAGAATAAATTAAATAGAAGAAACATAGTAGCAACGAAAATGACTTGTCTATAATTAAGCATGCAACTGTATCTAGTTAATCACAATACTACAATACCTGGCTGGAAAATATGCCCCTGCTTATCTCTCTCTCTCTCTCTATCTTTGATATTTCTGGTCAAAACCCCTCCTTTTCCCTTTGATGTTTCTCCTGATTGTGAACAAAATAGAGAAATTTTTATATTGCAATAGGAATCACTTTTTCAGAGTGCATGAACCAGAGTTCAAATGATTTCCTCAGATGACCAACATGACTTTTCCATTTACGTATATCCCAACAAAACAGAGAAGGTCTGTTTCAATAGGCCTATAACCGACGGTTCCAACCTTTGGCTTGAAAGTTCCGCAGAAACAACACTACCTCAATTTGTTCTACAATTTGCTATTATATTAACACTCAATCGCATTCTCCTTGCTGCTGCAGCATCATGCCATCTACCACGTATTGTTGCCAATATTTTTGTAAGTGTACCTTTTAAGCCTATGATGAAATTTTCATTTATTCGAATGACAAAACAAAAAATCACTCTCCATTGAACCCTGACTTGCGATGATAGCGGTGAAGGGCAATTTTTATTCACAGCCTTACTTTTACATATTTGCAAGGAAGCTGTTTCCAGATTTGACTTGGTCATGAACTTTAAATCGCAAAAAAGTATCTTTATCACTGCTCCAAACCCGTCCTCTTATTAAATTTCATTTATTCATTAGTGAAAAAATTCAACTACTAATTTTGTGGTTTCTGTTCCTAGACTGGTTTTTTATTAGGTCAATCTGTGATGGGAGGTTGGCATTTTTATGACAAGCACATATTTCCTTTTACTAATATGTTGCCATTGGAGACTTTGGGAGCGATGGCACTTGTTTATTATGTGTTCTTGCTTGGCTTGGAGATAGACCTCAAACATATAAAGAGGTGTCACAGTAATAAGAAGGCCACGGTTGTTGCAATTGCTGGTATAATCTTCACTTTACCTGTTGGTGGTGGCTTGTACTATCTTCTTGTCACAGACATGGGGCGCAATGCTTTGTCTCCTTCAGACAAAGTTAAACACATAAGGGGTGCAATAATATGGGGAATCACCCTTTCTTGCTGTGGTGATTTTCCTGAAATTGCTTCAATTCTTTCACACCTAAAGCTACTTCTCACAGAGAATGGACAACTTGCTCTAGCTGCTTCAACGATTAATGACTTGTATTCTTGGACCTTGATTGTGTTGACTATAACAGAATTCTATTACCATTCTGTATCATCAATGATCTTCGCCCTCATGTTTTTGTTGACATGTTTTTTTTTTATTCATCCTATTGCTAAGTGGCTTTTCAACATGGCTGGGACAAGGGATCGCGAGTTTCTTGAGTCCCAAGTAGTGTTTCTCCTCCATTTTGTTTTGGCCGTTGGACTACTAGCTGATGGGTTGGGTGCACATTCCATCACAGGCGCTTTCCTTTTAGGAGTTGTGCTCCCAAAGGGTGTGGTTAACAATGCAGTTCAGGACAAGGTGCTTGATTTTGTGGCTGCTTTCATGATGCCACTCTTCTTTGTTGCTATTGGTGAGAGAATGAAAATCCAAGTGTTGGCGTTGGACTCACACTGGACAACCGTGGTGATTGTTATTGTGCTGGCTTTCATTGCGAAGATATTGTGCACTTTTGTGGTCTCTTGTATCTACCAGATGCCAATCATGGAAGGATTATCGCTTTCACTGCTCATGAATACTAAAGGAATGATGTCATTGATCATTCTTAGCACTGCCAGGGACAGGCTCGTGAGTTACCTAACAACCTTAATATAGTAACATACTATGTATTACAAATATCATAGAGAGAGCTTTCTAGCACCATGCAACCCTTTGTTATCTATATATTTATGTATTTATTTATTTGATGTTGATGTTGATGTTGATGTTGATGTATGATAGATTATTAACATATATGTGATGTAGGAACTGGACCACCAAACCTATGGGGTGATGCTAGTGGCGTGCTGGTTCATGACTGTTGCTGTAGGACCTGTCTTGGCTGCTGCCAGGAACCCCATCACCACGAGCTACTGGTTCGGGAGCCAATCCAAGACCATACAAGGCACAAGGCAAGACTCACCGCTAAAAGTGTTGGCCTGTGTTCACACAAAACGCGATGCCAATGTCATCATCAACCTCTTGAATGCATCATGTCCATCAGTGAAATCTCCAATTGAGGTCATGGCAGTGGAGCTTGTCAAGATGGCTAACCGCCCCACTTCCTCCCTCATTGTAAGGAATGCTCAGAAGCCAGCATCCTTCACCAGCTCCAAATCCACCAAGCCCAATAGCTTCAAGAAAAACGACACCGCCGAGGACGATGACACTCTTGGCTGCTTCGACAACCTTAGAGAATCTATCTTCACCGAAAAGATGAGGGTTGTCTCCTCTTACAACTCCATGCACAAGGACATCTTCAACCTAGCAAGAATTAGTGGGGTGACCTTAATCTTGACCACGTTGTACAAGCAACCAACCTATGATGATTTTGGTGCAGGTTAGTGATCGGGGATGTCATTCTTAGACTCATGTAAACCTCATTTTTTTTATGGTAATCCATGAGCTAGCCCTTAGAGATCCACTTAAGCATCATGCATGCTCCTTAAAGTGAGCATCATAGATTAATAAAGGATTTTGTATCCCCAATACAGCTCACTATCGTATATTTAGTCATGTCGACAAAGCGGTTATGACTCACCTTCTCTCTCATCTTTCTTGCATCCATACTTTTATGAGCAGCCATACCAATGCCTCTAAGAACACTTCCATAGTGATATAACACGCCCTCTAAGAGATAATGACCTAAACTCTACCTCACAAACAGTTCATGTTGTCCTCACCTCACCCTCACTAGTAGGGATTTAATGGAAAATGGTCTTTTATAGATAGCAATAGCCTCCTACTCTCATACAAGTCTTTAAGTGTGATCATCATCTGTATTCATTTATCATATATATAATTGTAATTTACATAAACAATACACTTACAATTTAGCCTCCTTTTACGAAATTTTCTGGCTATGGCAATATTGGTGCAGGTCATGCAACTGCCAGAGCTGTCAACATCATAAACAGGGACAATTCAAGCAGAGACAAAAAGAAAGTGGTGTTGGAGCATTTGGTGAAGGAGACACCATGCTGTTTAGCCATATTTGTGGACAGAGGGTTCGGTCAGAAACGTGCCAAAGAGCAAAGACTAGCAATGTTCTATGTAGGTGGTGCTGATGACCGTGAAGCTCTTTCTTACGCTTGGAGGATGAGTAGGAACCAGGAGGTTCAGTTAACGGTGGTGCGGCTTGTTTGGGACAACCCTGAAGATGAGTTTGATGAAATGGACAAGGAGTACATAAACGAGTTCGTGCAACAAACGGTAGACACACCTAGGCTGAAGTATTTGGAAAAGGTGGTGAAGGATGAGAAGGAAACGGTGATGCTTTTGAACAAGATGGGGAACAAAGGGTTTGATTTGTACATTGTTGGGAGAGGACATGGGAGGAAGATGTCGTTGGCACAAACGTTGGAACCTGTGTTGGAGGAACCTGCTTTGGGTCCTCTTGGTGATGCTTTGTCGGATTTGAACTCTGCTGCAAAGACTTCAATTTTGATCTTACAAAGACAACCTGATCTTGGTGATGATCATAGTTCTAGGAAACATGTGCACTCTTCATCTGGACAATTTTTAGATATCATGCTTGATCAGCACACTGTATAATTCAGCAGCATATCCCACCAATGGTTTCAAATGCTCGAAATTTATGATAGTGTGCCTAAAATCAGTGATATGAAGAAAGCGTTGGCAAGCCTTAGAACCCCGGCGCCATGTGTCACAAAGGGATATTGGGGAAGAAAGAGATGCAAAGTTCTAGAACTATGGCATCTAAGATTTTAGAATGGTTGATGTCAAAGAACTAGAACGTGGTCCTGAATAAAGAACAGGAATAACTACTAATTAAGAAGCGAAGTTACTGTGCTCCTGAAGAAGAAAAAAAAAATTGGATGGGACTGATATGAGAGAAAAAGAGAAAAGGTTGAAGAGAGAGGAGAGAAAAAAAAAAAAAATTGATCCAGGTGTCAATTTCTGAGTGAAAGGACCGCGGTAGTCCTGAACCATATTAAAAAATTTCCTAATTAAAATGGATGGTGATTAATGTAGACAGAGTTCCCGACGAGTCTTTACTCTTTTTTCAACTAAAATCAAGTTTTTTCTTTATTTTGTTGTTTTAAATTGATCCTTTTGTTCATCAAAGGGGTTTAAATTCCGACACATTTTGTTTAAACAGTCTTGCAAGTTCAGTGTAAAGTTGTATATATTCATTTGACATGACTGATAAGTTACGGGGAACTTCATTTTGGTTGCCTCTCTAACCACAATCCTATAGGCGGCATATTGTCAAACTAAGCCATCGATACTTAATACCATGTGAAATGATATACATAATTAAAAAGTAACTATGGCAACTAGTAAGGCAACTGAGAGTTGTTCTATCTTCGGTCAATAAATATACTAAAAGTTTGATTTGAGCTTTGAAACCAGAATTATGTAGATAACACGTACCAATCTTTCGTTTACTTGGAAGTTGGAAAGGGCAAAGGCTTGTCCTGTGATTTTGTATATTGAGGAACGTAAATGCACAGTAAAATCACATACTAAGAAATTAAATAGACCTGATTGATTTTCTTGAGGTTTTTTTATTTTTTCTGCACTGCAAAACAGTTTTCTTGATTTTAACCGACACATCTTCATTCCTAGTAATGGTTATTAACTTCTCTTGATAGTTCTTCGTTATTGACCTTTTCATTATTGAGTTTTGACCTTAAACATGGAATAACTCAGTTAATAGTGCAATCCGGCATTAAACAAATAGATTGCCGTAGGTTTGCATATTAAGTAATGCCTCCATTGAGTGGGAGTTAACAGGTTGGACACACTAAAAGAAGCAAAGCCCTTCACTGAGAAAGGGTGTTAGTTGGGAATGAAATCAATCACACAAAGCATAAGAATATGCACAAATGTATTGCTTCTCACACAAATCAAAAGACAGTTTTATTACACAAAACCACTCATCAAGTGCAAATATAGTTTGCATAGTATACAAGGTAGTATAAGCGTATCCTTAAAGGCTACTATACCTCATTCTTGTTCTTCTCAATGACTACATGACCCTCACCTTCGACTTCTTTTATCTGCCTTTCTATATCTACCTTCTTTTCAATGAGTGCTTCTATTTTTTCATTAACTTTTTCAAGCTTTTGCTTCAGCTTGCTAAGATCCTTGGTCTTGTCCTTTCCAGAAAGTTTCTTCTTCTTCCCCTTGTTGTCGTTGTCTTCTTTCTTCGTCTTCTCTTTCACTTCCTCCTTGTCAACCTTTTCTTCACCTTCTTTTTCACATTCTTTCACAGTTTCTTCTATTTCAATATCCCTTAAAGCAACTTTACCATCCTTTTTCTCACCCTCTTCTTTTCCATCCTCCTCGTCATCTTTATCTTTTTTTTCCTTTTTCTTATCCTTCTCTTTCTCCTTCTTATCCTTATTATTCTTTTTCTTATTTTCTTCACTATCCTCTCCTTCATAATCTTTTCCCTTTTCTTTCTTTGTGTCCATTTCTTCATCCTTGTCCTTCTTTTCCTTTTTCTTCTCCTTCTCCTTCTCTGTCTTCTTCTCTTCACTATCCTTATCTCCATCTTCTTTTCCCTTGTCCTGCTTTTCCTTTTTCTTCTTCTCTTTCTCCTTCTTTTCCTCATTCTCTTTACCATCCTCCTCATCATCTTCTCTCCCAATGACCTTCTCTGCATCAATTTTGTCATCCTTTTCCTTTTTCTTCTTCTTCTCTTTATTCTTATCCTCCTTCTCCTCCTTCTTTTCCTCCCCATCAGTTTTTTCATCCTTGTCCTTCTTTTCTTTTTTCTTCTTATCCTTCTCATTCTCCTTCTTTTTCTTCTTCTCCTCACCATCCCCATCTTTATCTTCTAAATCATTTTCTTTCTTTGCTCCCTCTCCTCCTTCCTCCACCTCCTTCTCTTTCTTCTTTTTCTTTGATTTATCTTCATCCTTATGTTGTTTCTCTTCCTTACATATTGGATTCTCTTTCTCTGCTAATTTATTCTTCAGATGCAGTTCCATCTCAGTCTTCTCTTCCTTTACATCACCTAGTTTTTTATCCTCGGTCTTGATTTTAAGGGAGTCTTCCATATCTATATTATCTTCACAGGTCCCTGAAGCAAATGTGACAGCAAAGTCAAACCATGAATTTAAATAACTTGCCAGATATGATTATTAGCAAGATATTAGCTAAACTCCAACATACTGAGTTAATCAAGAGTTTATTTAATAAATGCACCTTCCCCAAAAACAATGACTGAACCACAACTTAAGGGAAAAAGCTCCTCTAAAGTGAGTAGTAAGTAAGGTTGTTTCTAAGAAATTCTTATATAATCTTGTTCAAATGCCCAGGTTAGGCAAAAGGGAATCAATCCAAGTTCTTATAGAAAACTCAAACAGGCTAACAGAACAAAGAGTCAATGATAAGGATGACATATTGATACATAAAAAATTAAAAACATTAACAGAATACATACACAGTTCACTATTCCTAGACACGGGATTAGAAAACACACAAAACTCAGTAAAACCAGTAATCAAGATGAACTGAATTGTTTAAAATCAGAATATCAAACAAATTAATTCCCAATCAGTTAGACTCTGTATTTTGTTTTTCTTCATCAAACAAACTAAAGCTGAATCGCTAAAATTATGTACAAGATCTGAGATTATAACCAACATAATCAACCACTTAATTAGCAAAACAAATAATAATAACCAAGTCCAAGTATTTAATAAGTTATGACATCTACCATTTTTCCCACGGATCCAAACACAAAAGAAAGCAAAAGACGCCAAACATGGGACACATCAATATCACAAGGTAATGCTTCAACATAATAATAATAATAATAAATAAATAAAAAATAAATAAAAACTGGCCATGAGAAAACATCAAGATCGATCGATATTGGAAATTCCAGTTAATCGTGCTTACATTTAAATTCAGCTACCGCTAAATTCTATTTTCCAGGAATGAGTTGATAGAGTTTGAGGAATGAGCGAATGTATTCATTGTAGAAGTAAAAGTAAAAGTAACAGTAACGGTACCTGTCGTGAATGCTAAGGTTCGAAGAAACTTAGGTGCAAGTTCTGGAACGAACGAGAGTGTTGCTGGTAGCTTAGTCTTTGTGTCTCTGGTATTTATAGGATTTTCGTGATCCGTTAAGTGCAACATTTTGTGACGTGTCGCCCGCACATACGTTCACGTGTAACCAAGTTAACGTTGAAGATGCAGTTTTCGTTTCTTCCAACAATCTTGACGGTGCGCTTTTTTCTTCTTCCCGTGTTGTGTGCGTGGGATGAGGTGTTTTACGATCTGTTTATTGTGTTTTTTTTTTTTTCTTAAAATTATTTTGTAAAATAATTAATGAAAATAGGTATTTCTTTATATTTTTTATTTTAAAAATTAAAAGTTATAATACAAAATAAAAACAACTCAAATATATTCTTTAAATTTGATTTTAAAAGAAAAATTATAATTATAATTTTTAAATTTTAAATTTTAAATTTTTTTATAAGACAGGTCTTATCAAAATAGTTTCAATAATAAAATTATCACAATAAAATGCTTATTTTATGCTTATCTTGGTCTGTTTAAAAGCAAAAATTCACTGGAAAGGTAAGTCGGTCTCACGTAACACGTATGTTGGGGTAATGTATGTATCAATTACGTGTAGAGTGCGTGGGATTGTTTTTACTTCCATTTTAATTAAATGACATATTTTGGGTTAAATTTTTGTAAGAGAATATTTTGACAATATTTAAAGGCTCATATGTAATTCACTTAGGTCCCGTCCCAGTTAAGATCCATCACTAATTTGCAAACAAGAAAAGGTTGCGTTATCTTCATTTAGATCTAGAGTAATTAGGCTTTCTAGAAAACAGTTTTCTACTTCCCAGAATTAAAACATAAAACAAAACAACGCACCTACCTAAAGTACTTGTTAAAAATAACCTTTAAAAAAATTATTTTGTTGCAATGGGTAATGCCTAATCTAATTATAAGGGACGCCAGCAATTCATTTTCTTTTATCAATTCCTGTCCTTTTGGATTCTTCGAAGATTCTTTTCTACTACAATTTGGAAAGAGTAATGTACCTCAAAGACCAACAAACATTTCTTCTCTCTTTTTTTTTAAAAAAAAAAAAAGCTCTCCTTTGTGTCATTTCTGTTTTTAAAATGTTAGTGAAATTATCTTTTGATTTGAAAAAAAATAAAATAAAATAAAACTAGCATTGCCCCAACATGTAAGAAATGTAATTGAGTATTCTATTTTGTTAAAATATTGTATTATTAGTTAGATTTGATTTCTCTTATGCCAGGCAAACAAACACTTTAGTAACACAGACACACACAAAAAGACTGCAGACACTTCTTGTAATCTCATGTTCATGTCCTACCAATTGTACCACTCAGTCATTTGCATCTAATAATTGACATAATTAATGAGTTAAAATCATTGCATGCAAATAAGAGATTGGTGTAACAATTTTGAAGTCATTTTACGGTCCAAGTTTTCATTACAAACTATACAAATTGATACTTTATTGGCCTCGTGAAACAACTTGGTTTTTAAATGACACTATGCTCAGTTAACACTACAATAACTTACATATACCTACTGGGATTCATAGCATCGCCCAATGAAATTTTTATAGAACTTCGTCTAAGCCATGATTCATACATAACCATGTAAAATGCGTCAAAGTTAAGAGGGGATGAATGCCATTGGAAGTGTTGCCTCGCCTTCAAAACATTGCTTTGTAACATCAAATTTTGATTAGAAGTGACACCTTTGAGGATCTTTTTGAGTAAAGGTATATCTAAGGAAACAACTGAAAAGCTCTTCCAGTTTAACACATCTGCAAATGGAAGTTCATAGTAGTTGGCAATGATCACTGGAACATAACCATAATATAAAGAATCTCCAATAGGAGCTGTGTTCACTTCAAAGCCTTTAACATGGAGGCAGAACTTGCTTCCTAGCAACTGATCTGCGTATGGTGTTTTGAGTCGTCTATGGTGAACAAAGATTTTTGAGTCATTTTTCCATTTCTCAAGGATTTTTACACGTACTGGTGAATTAACTCCTCCAGCAAAGAAAGCTGGCTTTTTCCTGTGATTGAAAGAACAGCAAAATGAGTTATATTTGATATCACTGAATAACATCATTGTTGCAATGCTGCTTCATCAATACATTTAATCTATGTTAGTATATGAGGTCATCCCTCAACAGATAAGACTTTTTTCCACGTTACTCTCAATGTGAAAAGATACATTTGATTCTTTTCTGGCCAGCCCAGTTAGTTGACCCAATAACTCAGGCTCAGTACTATTGACCTAAGTTTGGAATATTCCAAAAGACACCCTACAGTGATCCATAGAGCCTCACCACATGGGATCACCTCTTCCCCTGCACAACACCCATTGTACACTGACAATGGGTGCAAAACGCCTTGTCTCAAGTACAAGGCCAGGCTACAATGACACAGCGTTGTCCCCTTCTTTCCTGATTCTCTCTCACACGCCTAGGGAGTCAAATCCTACCTATAAATACCCCCTTCTCCATCAACGGGGCATCATGTTCACTTAACTTGTATGAGTTGTTACTCTGTTGACATAGAGAGCCACCATAGCCGTTTACACACTCCCCTCCTTTTTAGTTATAACACATTGGCAATCTCTAATAGAGTCTTGGTCATTACCATTGCTACTAAGAGTACTCTTTGATCAACATACTTTACCCATTAAGGGATACATCAGTGGCTTCAACATACGCAAACAGTTCAGATTCAAAAACATTCAATGAAATATTTGAGAAACTATCCTCTTGTCAAAGCCTTTTCCCACTAGGTACGGCCAACATGAATCAAAGTAAGCCATTGTGCTCTATCAAATAGTTACATTAACTGATATTAGATTGGGTGGAAAAAAAAAACAAGGATGGTTTTACTTTCAGCGTACAATCTTAGCAAAAACCAATTGATTGCTAGCACTGTGTTAGTCTGTTAGAACCATAGGCTTGCAGGTCATTAACTAAATGAAGCTAGTTCATAATTTGTAGTTTACTGGTCACATTGATAACTATAGTTAAGCCAAAATTTACGAAGACTGCACTGCTTAGTTGGCTAAGTACAATTAGCCCACAACCTATCTACTTGTTGACAAAGTAAAGGATATGATAGGTTTAGAACTTGCATTCTAGAACATGTATGATTCAGAATAATGCCAACTAGCAAGAGGAATAAGTGCTACCTCTTTGATCAAACAAGGTTGGGGGAATTTCCTTTTCTTGGCCAAATTTGTGGTAGGCAAGTATCCTTATGAGCAATATACCCAGTTAGGAAATAACGTGATGAACACACAACTTGAATGGCATTGAATGTCACATCAGGTGCTTTCTCAATTGCAGACCTTCCAATTGAATGACAAGCAACATAAAAGTGATCAGCACCACCTGTGTGGTTCCAAAATGGATACTTGTGACTGATATTCTGAATGTAGACTCTAATGGAATCTTGGATACCTCCTACACCAACTCTATGATCATGCAACAATCTTGCTATGGAAAAAGGAAGAAAGAAAAGATCTGCCTGTTCGGTTCGGTTCGAAAATGGTTCGGTTCTTGAACTAGTTTATAAAAACCGATTCGGTTCAGTTCACAATTCAGTTCAGTTTTTTGGTTCTTTGCACACCATTAGCCTGGTCTGTTAGGCTTGTGTAAACCCAAATTATAAGTCCCAAATTATAAGTCTAGTTTGACTTATATTTAAAAAACAAAAACTTTGACCTAGATCTGTTAGTATGTCTAAGTCTATTAAGCATTCAATAATTAAAATAACATTATTTTATTATTCAAAATTATTAAAATAATAATTTTTTAAAATAAATAAATTATATGATATGGACCAGCCTATGGACTTGTAGTTTTGTCATGTAAAAGAAAGTTTATGCCTGCTTTTTTTTTTTTTTTTTTTTGTAATACATACAGAAAATAAACTAGACTAAAACTAAGCGAGGGAAAGCTACTCCCCTACAATCTTGAAGAAAGTCTATGCCTGCTTTCTAAATAGATTTGTTTTGAGATCTGAGTCAGTTTTATTTAAGTATATGTAATAGGCCCAGCTTAACATGATGTAGTCTAAGTTGTAGCTCCTGTTTGGCTAGTTGTCCCGTTTACACCCCTATACACAACAAGTGCACAAGTCAAACAAATCCAGGTTCCAACAATAGAATAGTGCACGTATGTGCTGATCTGATCTTAGGAATCAACAAGTGGGAAAAGAATTAAACTTTGAACACGAAACAAGTTTCTTTTTCCTCCAACAAATATCACCCCAAAATTAATGGATGAATGACTAATACTATTCATTTGACAATATCAAAGCCAGATTAAAAATTCTACCCATAAGCATATTAACAAAAAAATAAAAATTGGAACTTTAGCGTACCCTTTGAGCTGAATTGGGGTGGCGGACCCCGTTGACTTGGTGATCCTTGGCCATGACCCAATTAGAAAGTATGAAACTTTGTGGAATCAGAATCATTGTTGTGTGAGATAAGGGTGGGAGAAGGGGTGATGGTAGAGGGCGATGGTGAGTTGAAGTGAGGAGCGGATTGGTGGTTGTGGTGGTGATGTGTGAAGAGGTCGGAGGTTGAGTAAATATAGAAGAGAATGAAAAGAGAGGTTAAGAGAGCTAAGATTGTGGGGATGAAGAAGCCGCCCCTGAATGACCCTTCAACACGGCGCTGAGAGTAATAGAAGAGCAAGGAAGGACGAACCATCGCATGGAGAGAGAGAGAGAGAGAGAGAGAGAGAGAGAGGGAGGGGGAGGGAGAATGGAACAGCGACAGAACGCAAACGTGGTAAATGGTAATTGTATCCAAACACGACACGCATGACATGCACGTGCCGGAGACACTTTGGGCCGGTCAACCGTTAGAAGGTGAAGATTCAAAAGCCCTTGCTGGCCCAAGAAAAAAGGCTTAGAAATTAGGGATGTAATATGAAAGCATTTTTCATATAAATAAATTGTAATTGTTGTAAAATATAAAGTTATGGATGACTTAAATTACGTGACCGTTGAAACTAATGATACAATTATCTTATGTTTTTGTAATCACTACACTAATGGAGCATGAATTCTCCATTCATGATATACATGCTTGTATTGGAAAATGAACTGAATGAGAATCAGTTATAACCCTAAGCTCTAGTGACAATATTCACTAAATCCCTCGTCTATTTCCAAATTTAAGACATTGGAATATGAAATAGGTATGCATAAGCTTTATAGATTATTTTTATAAGGGGGAGTGAATTAATTATGACTAACCCTGAAGGTTTATTAATGTACTCTTTTTTCTTTTGCTAAGTTTTTTTCCAAAGAATTTTTCTTATCTAAAGGTTTTTAATGAGGGTAGTTTGTGTAATGCTTAGCACATGCCATGAATATTAGCGCAATGATGTCCCTGGGAAAATGTTATAAATTGACATAATTACAATTTACTATGTCAAAATATTAAGAGATTGTCATTATAAAAAGTTGTAATTGTTGCTCCATTATCTTAGCTCTAGCAGTAGCTATATGGCTTAACTTAGGGGGACTTATACGCACTGTATATTTTTTTTTCTTTTATCGAGTTTTTATCCCATTGAATTTTTCTTAAAATGATTTTTAATGATACAGTCTAAGTTAGTGTATAATAAAAGTTGTATATTAATTATAAATATTGTACTCTCTTTTCTTCGCTAAGCTTTTATTCCACTAATTTTTTTTAGCAAGATTTTAATTAGGCATATCCTTAGTGTTTCCCATCTAAGGGGGTGTTGTAAAATACAAATTTATGGATGACTTAATTACGTTACCGTTGGAACTAAGGATACAATTATCACTCATTTATGTTTTTGTAACCACTATACTAATGGATCATCAATTCTCCATTAATGATTGTATCCTTATATATACATGCTTATTGGAAAATGATTACCTGAACGAGAATTAGAGTTATACCCTACTTTTTTCCGTCTTCTCCCTTCCCTTGCTCTCTCATCCCTTTCTTTTTATTTCATAACAATAATGTGAATAGTTGAACAAAATAATGAAATATGCAACATATGAACTGACTCAATTACATGTAATTGAACAACTCTTTAGTAACATCTTAACAACTTTGGGATTGGATTTCATGAAGTCATCTTACCAATGATAAAAGTTACACAATGGGAAACCACTAAGCAAGTGGATCAACCGATAAGGAGTTGTTTCAGTTTAATTATTGATTTCGAGTTTAAGTTCATAAAATGCATCTATGTTAAAATATAGTAGGGAGAGATTATCCAAAAAAAGTTACAATCTCAAGTTACTGATTTTGATTTATATCATTTATTCCAAACTATGTTTTGTGACACAAATAACAACTTTAAATACTAAGGATTACATGGACAGAAAATCTAATTGTTCTATGTTAAAATTTAGTACGGAGAAACTATGCAAAAAAGTTATAGTGGCAAGTTATTGATTTTGATTTGTATTATTTATTCCAAACTATGTTTTGTGACATAAATAATAACTTCAAATATTAAGAATTACATGGGGGAAAAATCTAATTATTCCGGATTGGTCTTCACAACCTAGTATACGTGGGCGGTATGAAAAAACTCAGTAAAGGATCACTCTTGTAATATTCAAATAATAATAATAATTAGGATATATATATATATATATATATATATATATATATATATATATATATAATAACTATTTATATTGGGAAAAAATATTAGATTTTTTCTTAAAACCATGGTCATAGATTAGATTTTATTTAAAAGTCAAGGAGAAAGAGAGGGGGGGGGGGAGGAGAAAAAAATGTAATATTGAGAGAGGAATATATTCTCTCATTTTTTTTTATTGAATTTTTCTTCTATTTGACTTTATTTATACTTTTATATAGTTTTAAAATTTTAGTTTTATGAAGTTGATTATAAGATTGATAATTCTTTTGGTACCAAATGAATGTTAATAGAATGTGTAATTTTTAACTGTATAATTATGATGTGAACTGACCCATAAAAGTTTGGGTTCAGACAATAATATCGTAAGAAACGTTTTACTTTGCTTGAATCCTGCTAATCAGAATATTTCACATACAAAAACCAACAAAATTTTGGGCTTTAATAGCTTCAGCTAAATATCACACAAGTTTTCATATTTTATTACTTCTATTAGTATTTTCTTATTATGAATATATTTGAGATAATGATATTTTCTGTTATTGCTGCTTGACTTATTATAGTTAAAAAATCTTAATATTATTGAGATTTTTCTCAAGTGTGTTTATTTTTATACTAACATCTCCATAGAATAACCATGCCTAATTTGTGTTTCATCTAAGAAGGATGGGGAATTTCTATATGTTTCTATGAGATTATATCGTGTTAGGGAATCAAGAAATGGTGGCTACATTTTATCAAGATAAGGTAGAAACATTTATATATATGATTGACTATATGAAGCTGAAGCAGTGTACAACTTTGTAACTTCAACTAGTTAGGAAGTAATATATGTATTAAACTTATGTAAAATACTCTAGGATGTAGAATTTAATGTAAACTAGTCAGACTGTAAAAATATATGTACTTGACTTAAATCTATGTACAAAGTAACTCAAGAGTGTTGGTATAATCTTATATCTTTTATGCATATTCTTTATGTAATTTAATACATACATATATATATAGTTTAAGAAATGATGTGATATTCTTTATGCTAGAGTATATTACATTTTATGATATCAGAGAAACGATTCAGGTAAATAAAAGACTTAAACTATTCATAAGTAACATAGTTGCTTGGTATTTTGTCATAGATCATGCATATTTTGAATTATTTAGTAATGAGTCCGACTAACTCACTACCATAAAATAATGTATGTAGATCTATGACAGATACAAGACAAACATATTCAATTTCTGAACCAGAAGTTAACCCAATAACTGATGCATTTACCAGGGTCGCAGAAACTCTTAAAAAATAGAATGTAACAAATCAGCAAATTATTCAGGAGCTAAGAGAGGACCGTGCAACCAAAAATCACACCCATAATTCTGAACGTGAAAGTGAACCTAGATATGCAAATGCTCAGGGAGGACCTAATTCCGATTATAAAGGACTAACTAAATTCCGTAAGCATAAACCTTTCACTTTTCGTAGAGATTATAACCCTGAGACAACTGTGGAATGAGTGAAAGAACTTGAAAAAATATTCCTGATAATGGACTATTATATATTCATCGTGTGAATTTTGTCACACATATGCTGATTGGAGAAGCAGAATATTGGTAGACAAATACTAAAAGATATTTCTAAAATCAAGGAACATAGATTACGCGGACAACATTTAAAGATGCATTTTTGAAAAAATATTTTCCTCAAAGTATAAGAAACATGAAAGAAACATAGTTCCTGGAGTTAAAACAAGAAAACATGATTATTGGTGAATACGTGACAAAATTTGAGGAACTTTCCAGATATTCTAATTCTGTATAGAACCAACTTAATGAAGAATGATTGATAAATATATTTGAATCTAGATTAAAACCAAAACTTAAAATATGATAATAAGACATCAAATAAATTTTTTTTTATCACTAATAAATAAGTGCAAAGATATTTAAACAAAGGGATTTGTATTTGTCATTTAACATGACATATCAAATTTTCCTACACATATAACATTTTGTAGGGCTCACATTTTTTGAAGAAAAAAAAAAAAAATTACGACACGCAAAACGAATCTCTATAACATTACACAATCACTTTTTCTACAACATAATTCTAATAAAACCCTTAAACAAATATGATGAAAGTTGAGGAGACACGGAGAAAGTTATAAATACAATTCAATGGTAGTGAAAGGTAAAAAATAAACGATAGAAAACAGAAAAGAAAGAAATAAAATGAAAAGGGCAACAATATGAGGTCGAATATAGAATAGAACCGTTAATCAAAGAGGATTAAAAGGATAACGCGGCGAAACCGTATTGATAAAATCATTTAAAAAAGAAGAAGAAGTTATATGTATCTTATGTTACATAAGAGAAGCCAATTTCCTACGCATATAAAAGAGAGATGAGCTCTACATCTATTTTTTTTTTTCTCTTTTCTTACTCGTGAATCTCACTTGTAATTTTGTTTCTACTACACGAAATATTTTTTTCTTACGACATAACGTAAGAAAACTATTTTCCAAACAAAAAAAACACGGAGGATAAGATTTAAGAAGTTGAGAGAGAAACAGAACCTTCTCTCCCCCCCCCCCCCCGCCATTTAAAATCCCTCCCAACATCACAAACCCTCGTTTTCCCCTTTCATTATTATTTTGAGTCTTCCCTCCTTTTTCTCTTTTCTTCTCTTCTGTTCTCATCTCTCTCCCTCTCTCGAACACATATATATCAACAACACTCAAACACACCGCAACTTCACTCTCTCTCTCTCGTTCTATTCTATCAATCAAAAAAAGAATCCACAATGATGGGGAGAGATCCGACCCAGACCCAACTGGCCCTAATCCTGGGTCCTGATTCGACCCATTTGGAATCCCTAATCTCCAACCTCATGTCCTCTTCAAACGAACAGCGTTCCCAGGCCGAGTCAATCTTCAACCTCTGCAAACAAACCCACCCGGATTCCCTTATTCTCAAACTCGCCCAACTCCTTCACTCCGCCCATAACCCCGAAACCCGAACCATGTCCGCCATACTCCTCCGCCGTCACCTCACGCGCCACCACGACTCCTTCCTCTGGCCAAACCTCTCCCTTTCCACGCGCCCAACCCTTCAATCCCTCCTTCTATCCTCTCTCCACCAAGAGCCTGTAAAATCCATCGCCAAGAAGCTCTGCGACACCGTCGCCGAACTCGCTTCCGCTCTCCTCGCCGACGACCCCGCCGCCTGGCCTGACCTCCTCCCCCTCCTCTTCCAGTGGGTCACCTCCCCTGACCCCAGGCTTCAGGAAATCGCTCTCCTCATCTTCGCTCAATTGGCTCATTACATCGGCGAAACCCTAGTTCCTCAATTGAGCACCCTCCACTCTGTTTTCCTCCGTTGCCTCGGCTCCTCCACCGCCTCCGATGTCAGAATCGCCGCCCTCGCCGCCAGCATCCATTTCGTTCAGTGCCTTTCGACTCCCTCCGACAGGGACAGGTTCCAGGATTTGTTGCCTCTGATGATGCAGACCTTGACGGAGGCGCTGAATTCCGGCCATGAGTCCACCGCACAGGAGGCGCTGGAGCTCCTCGTCGAGCTCGCCGGGACCGAGCCGCGGTTTCTTCGGCGGCAGATTGTGGACGTGGTTGGGTCCATGCTGCAGGTCGCGGAGGCGGAGTCGCTGGAGGAAGGGACGCGGCACTTGGCGATTGAGTTTGTTGTGACCCTCGCCGAGGCGAGGGAGCGTGCCCCTGGGATGATGAGGAAGCTGCCTCAGTTTGTGAGGAAGCTGTTTGGTGTGTTGATGAATTTGTTGTTGGATATTGAGGATGATCCTAAGTGGCATGGTGCAGAGGCGGAGGATGAGGATGCTGGTGAGACCAGTAACTATGGGTTTGGACAGGAGTGTTTGGATAGGCTTTCGATTTCGTTGGGCGGGAACACTATAGTGCCTGTTGCTTCTGAGTTGTTGCCAACTTACTTGGCTGCTCCTGAATGGCAGAAACACCATGCTGCACTCATTGCATTTGCACAAATTGCAGAGGGTTGTTCAAAGGTATAATACTTGTACTTGCTATGCTCGCCATTCAAAAACTGATTTTTGTTTATTGTAGTAACTAGTGAAAATTCTCGTACCCTTTAATATATTTGTTATAATTGCACTTGTTGGATTGTGTTTGGTGTTTTGGTGTCTGCATTGTGTGTGTGTGTGTTGGTTGCTCACTGGAAAAATTCCTTAACTTAAGCGTGCACGTCTGTCTCTTAGATCATAATCTTTGATGGCGCAGGTGATGTTAAGGAATCTGGAGCAGGTATTGTCAATGGTTTTGAGCTCATTTTGCGATGCCCACCCCCGGGTGCGATGGGCGGCAATAAATGCAATTGGGCAATTGTCCACAGATTTGGGGCCAGACTTGCAGGTTAAATATCACCACTTAGTGCTGCCGGCATTAGCTGGAGCCATGGATGATTTTCAAAATCCCCGAGTACAGGTTTGCACTTTTATCTAGACTAGGTACTTTGACTCCTGTAATAATTCAAGCCCGCCTCTTTTTTTTTCCCCTAAAAATGTGCAAAGCCATTGCATGTTCTCATTCATATTAGGCTTAAGATGTACTCTATATAGCTTTATTGTATGTTTTATTTCTGTTCCTTCTTTTGTCCTTGTTTACATATTCTGCTCTAGGCAAGCCTTTTTGTTCCCATGCTTTGGTCAAAATCTCATGCATTTATCAATTGGATAGCTTTTTATGGTAGTGGATGGGTTCAATGTGTCATCTTTTATGGAACCCACACATAGGTCTTCTTACATCTGACTGGATGCTGAGACACTACTACTATTTTGAAGGATTACAACTTCTAACATCCTTTTGTGTAATATATTGTTGTAGAAGCAATAATCGCTTTTTGCTTAACATGAATGTAGTTTTGGACCACTAATTGTAGGCCTGCATGCCATTGGACTTTCATGTATTCTTTCGGGTCCTATAGGGCCAGCTACGTCAGGCTTTAGATACCATTATCTCTTAAATATGATATGTAATGTATCACTTGTGCTTCCTTTTTACTTTTTTTATCTCTCTCTATTTTTGTTATTATTTGATGTTATAAGATATGTACGGGACATGCTTTATATATAGAGAGGGTGTTACAACCCTCCTCTTCCACCTCACCCTCTCTCTCTCCCCGCCACTGCTACCATACAACCCCAAAAACTACCAACATTGTTACAAAGACAAACCCACCATCCCTCCACTTCCGGAGAGCATCACCATTGTTTGCCCACTCCTTTGTCTCTATAACTCCAACCTATGCAATACTCCCTTATACTCTTCCTTCTCCCTTCTTCTTCTTTAAGCTCCACCCTTTCCTCCCTATAGCCTCCCTCAATTCCATCAAAGCAACAAGTGATTTAGAGGGATGGCTTTGTGTGCAGATAGAAATTGGAGCAAAAGAATGAAACAATTAGGGGCTTTTGGCCTAGGTTCCAATATAAAAAGGGAGGTAGGTTCAAATCTTAGGAAGCATCAAAGGGGCTATGATTGGTGAGCAATGGTGGTTCTGAGGTGTTTGATGCATAGGTCATGATAAGAGGGCAGCTTAAGGAAGCTCCCAGTTATGACGGTACGACGATGGTCCTAGGTTCGTGGTCGTATAATAGAGATGCATAATTTGTTTGAGGGCAGGGTTGTGTATGGTGGGGTTGTATGTGACATATGTGATAGGTTTAGTGGTACTAGCATAGATGAAAAAGGCGGCGCTATAGCGCGATGTATCGCATCAATAACGGGTAGCGGCACTCAGCCGCAACAAACTGCAAGCGGCGCTACAATTTACAGTGGCAGCCATAGCGGCAGCAATTTGAAGTAGCATTTTGCAGCTGTAGTGGCACAATTTCCACGCTACAAGGGAGGAAGAGAGATTTTTTTATGTTAAGGGTATTATTGACTAAGAAATTAATTTTAATGGTACACTGGACTTTTATCCTTTCTTTATTTCCGAACCCTATCTCCCTTATGATCTATTTACTTCAAATCTTGATCTGGTTGCTCTGTTTCATCTCTCTCTTTTTCACTCATTTTCTGACTTTGATCCCTCTTTCTCACCTATTTTCTGGCAAGCCCACAACAATGTAATATCTCTGACTGCGGCACAATCTTGATATCTCACTCATTCTGTTTCGATCTATGGCAGATTCCTTCAGTCTCTCTTACTATGTTTCCGTGTAGAAGGAATGGTACCATCTATCTATCTCACTCATTTTGTTGCAAGTCAAGCCCAAAAACCATCTGCATCTGTTTTCTTCTCCAATAGTCCAATGTATATTATTTATATATTAATATGAATATATGATTGATCTGTTTTAATTTTGCTCTCAGCTAATTTTTTTGAATAAGTTAAATTAATAATTAATGTATTATTATTTTATATGAATAATTATATATTTTATATCACATAATTGAACTTCACTATAGCGGCTATACTGCTACCTGCTTTACCGCTATGCTAGTGATGGATTAGAAAGTTGTTAGCTCTGGGGTTGACTGGGGAGTGATGGAAGGTTGGTAGGCCTTGATTCAATGTGTTATGGAGCTATAATTTTAGTTAAGAGCTATGTCCGTAAAAGGAGGGAGGGTGTGTTCTCAGATGCAATAGAAATAGGGCTGATTCAGGTTTACCTCATGGTTTGTTTATAGGTTCTAGTGTTTATTCACATAAAAATGCAAAGCAAGTAATTACTGGTATAACTATCTGCAGTTCTTCTCTAAAGGCTTTGTGCAGAGTTTTTTCTCTATCTTACAAGACATTTAGACCTAATAAAATTTAATTGTTAATGCCAGTTTCTGGATTATGCACTTTTAACTGCTTGAATATTTTGTTATCAGGATTCTTCTACCCCAAAAATATGTCCTCATATTTAGTAGCTCTGTAGTTTAGTGCCACTCTTTATTGACTTGTGTGTAAATATTAATTTTGAGTGTCCTGATCTATGATAACTTATATGCATTCAGAAGGTCATTAATCCTGTTACATCGTTTGTTACTTATATATTGCAGGCTCATGCTGCTTCTGCGGTGCTAAATTTTACTGAGAATTGTACCCCAGATATCCTAACGCCTTACTTAGATGGGATTGTGAGCAAACTTCTTGTTCTCCTGCAGGTATTTGACTGTTATTGACATGAAGATAACTAGGTTTCAAGAAAATCATAGAATATTTTGATAATATCTTTGTTGAGATTGTATGGTGTTTTCCTTGATTAGACATCTCTATTTTGTTTGACTGAAATTGCACTTCTTGGATTCTCCTTGGTTCTTTTTTTAGTCTCCAATGGGATCTGCATTTGCTTTATCTATTTTTATATTCGTAATTGAATTTTGGTTGGTAAGGGGGCGAACCGGAGCAGTGGTAAAACTGTTTCTTCATGACTGAAAGGTCATGGGTTCGAATCCAGGAAACAGCCTCTTTGCAATTATGCAAGGGTAAGGCTGCGTACAAGGATTTCTTCCACCCCACACTCGCTAGTCGGGTTTAACGGGGAGTGGTTTAAATTGAATTTTGGTTGGTGCAAGCCTTAGGTTTGTAATTTTTTTTCTTTCATAATTGTGGGCATCGTATGTATATATGTGTTGTTTTCCTTTCGATCTGGTTTGAAAGAAATAGAACATGACAGATTTTCTTTCGTGATTTTATTAGTTTTTTCTTACACAATTGTATTCATCTTGTGTGTATATATAATGTTAATTTGTTTGATTTCGCCCGTTGTTGCATTGTGCTTTTATAATCAATAAATGTTTCATATTTTATGCATTGAGGATGATAAATTTTGAATTATATGGTTTTCCTTTCTTGTCTTGCACATGTTCTAGAATGGGAAGCAAATGGTTCAAGAAGGGGCTTTGACGGCTTTAGCATCAGTTGCCGATTCTTCACAGGTGCTTTATGTAGCCAATCTTCTCAATAGGAATCACAATGTTTTAAGTTTTATACTTCATAAATAAAAATGTCTTGTGTAAACAGGAGCAATTTCAGAAGTATTATGATGCTGTGATGCCATACTTAAAAGCTATTTTGATGAATGCAAATGATAAATCTAGTCGTATGCTTCGTGCCAAAGCAATGGAGTGCATTAGTTTGGTAGGAATGGCTGTTGGAAAGGAGAAATTCAGGGCCGATGCCAAACAGGTGATTTTAGTTTGATTCAGCTTCTTGTATTTCTTTTTTCATTCATATGTACTTTTGGAAGGAGTAATTTTTCTATTTTCTTTCATACAATCATTGTTCCCTTTTAGTGTGCTAATGTATGGTTTTCATTTTTCCTTTACTAGGTCATGGACGTCTTGATGTCACTGCAACAATCTCAACTGGATGCTGATGATCCAATTGCAAGTTACATGTTACAGGTATGATTCTTTTACCAGGTTTAGTATGAACTTGGGAATTTATTTTATTTATTTTTTGTTCTAATTTAAAATTCATTTAAATCTCAAAATTTTCACTTGGCTTTTATATTTTCAGGCATGGGCACGCCTTTGCAAGTGCCTTGGGCAGGATTTCCTCCCATATATGGGTTTTGTCATGCCTCCTTTGCTTCAGTCTGCACAACTCAAGCCTGATGTGACCATTACATCAACAGATTCTGATGATGAATTTGATGAAGATGATGACAGGTGTCCTTCCAGTTTTAGTTACAGGATTTTGTGTCATAAACAATTGATATCCATGTTATCACATGATGTGATGTGTTTCTGAATCCAATTTATTCTTCATTTCACTTCCTTGAGGAGTCCTTTCCCATGTCTGAGGTTGTACATCTGCCTTTATTTTAAAATTGTTTTAGGCCATTTGAGAAAACGTGAGCTAGATAATGCTTCTTCTTTTATTAATTTATGTTTTATGATAATATCAGTTATCAAGACTTCCATATATTAGATCCTGCATATCAGTCCATCGGCATGCATTTGTGAAAGCAGCTTTCCAGGGTCCAAGGAGTTGTTTTTAGACCTAGTCTGTAGAACATGTGGAGGTCTTAGGGTAGCTTAGGTTCATATTTTAAGTAAAGGAAAAGACATACCCTGCACTCATGTAATGAAAAATGGAATAAGCATAGCAAAAAAGGTGTTGCAATTTTTAGATCTGAACATTAAGAAAGATATATGGATTATTCTGCTGGAAACATTGATTTGTTTTTGAATACTTATTGCCTGGCTTTGCTCGTTGTAGCATTGAAACAATCACTCTTGGGGACAAAAGGATAGGCATTAAGACCAGTGTCCTGGAGGAGAAGGCTACGGCTTGTAACATGCTATGTTGCTATGCTGATGAGTTGAAGGAAGGATTTTTCCCTTGGATTGACCAGGTTGACTTTGTTTTATATTCCATTGGCATTTTTCAGACCAAGATATTTTATAGGCTAACTTTGGTGAATTATCTAGGTTGCCTTCACATTGGTTCCTCTTCTCAAATTTTACTTCCATGAAGAAGTTAGGAAGGCAGCAGTATCAGGTATTTTCTTGATTCTGTAAGAACCAAATCTTGCTTCTAGTTTGTCTATTTCCAGTAGCATTGTCTGAAGTTTTTTTAATGCTACCTATTTGCTTTGTTCATAGCTATGCCGGAACTGTTGTCCTCAGCAAAATCAGCTGTAGAGAAGGGACAATCGCAAGGTCGTGACGAGACTTATGTAAAACAGTTGTCTGATTATGTAATACCAAATTTGGTGGAGGCTTTACACAAGGTTATAGTCCTACCTATTCTTCTGGTTGTTTGATTTCCAATCTGTAGTTTTTGTGTTTGTATCAATGTGTTTTACTGTCTTTCAGGAGCCAGAGGTAGAAATTTGTGCAAGCATGTTGGACGCATTGAACGAATGCATACAGGTTTGTAACATTCATCTGTCAGGATGGAAGCTTTATAGCAGCTATCTTTTATTGGAATTAAATTACAGTTCCATATCTCACAATATACAATCTTTTGTACCTTCTGTCAAATAACCATTTGGTTGAAGGAGAAATTGATACCCAAAAGATTTATGGGAGACAATTCTGTCCATAATTTATATTCTGGCTCTTTTCCTGCATATTGTGTCTTGGAAGAATTTGTTATGTAGAATATAATTTGTCTATATATATATATATAGAATGGATTGAATAATTAGGAAGCTTTGTTTCAGCAATAGCAGGAGGATAACATTACCATTATGATCCTTTATTCTTATTTATTCTGTGCAGTGACTACAAACATCATAAAATACGATGTGTTCTTTTGCAAAACTTCAAAGCATCCATGATCATGTAGAATGGGCAAGGGAGAAAGGAAAGGGAAGAAGAAACTGAGGGAGAGAGAACGAAAGGGGGGGAGTGTTTTTTTTTTTGGGGGTGCGGGGGTACACAGTGAGGAAGGAGAACCAAATATCAGGAACAATTTCAATTCTCAAATCAAGTTTAAGTCTCCCTAAACTTGGTGCGTGGCAATCCTCAAATTTAGGCAAACCCAGCTTCATAAATAGGCAATCCTAAATGACTAAACCCCCCCTCCAACAATTTCCCTAATTTATTTAAAATACCCTAATAACCCAAAAAAATACTAAAATTCCCTGGTTACATTAAATTCTTGTTATGCCATTCCTTAGACATAATCATCCTGATAGCATGTCCTATATATCCTGATATTCCTATCGCATTACCTGTCAGTCCAGGTATCAGTGTACTTGTGTTTTGAGAAAAAAAAATATGGATCATGATCCAGAAATGGCGTAACCAAGTATAAATGTGGCGATCTTAGCTTTTGTCCTTGTTTATTCCGCTGGTAGTCTGGAAATTGAATGGACTGATAATAGGCAACTGCAATCATTTTATTCTGGTTTTTCCATGTTGCCATATAAACCTGTATCTGTATAAAAGATTAGGAATATAATCTCTATCCTCCTCTTTGTCCATATCTTTCTCTCTACCTACTTCATGGGTAAATGTGCATTCTATATTGTGCTGATTTTAAATCTCTCAGTGGTTTTGTTTATAGTATTTCTTAATTCATCAATTTTCTGTAAGCTGTTGTTTAAACCTGAAGTTAGCTAGGATTTGTTTGTCTCAGGTCTCTGGACCACATCTAGATGAAAAACAAGTACGGAGCATTGTTAATGAGATTAAACAAGTCATTACGGCCAGTTCTTCTAGAAAACACGAAAGAGCAGAGAGGGCCAAAGAAGAAGACTTTGATGCTGAAGAAAAAGAACTACTCAAGGAAGAAAATGAGCAAGAAGAAGAACTTTTTGATCAAGTTTGTTCAATAATATCTGTTTTTGTCATCTTACTAATTTCATTAAATACATTTTTTGTGCATGCTGTCTTAGCTGTTATTTTCAATTTTTTTGTGATATAGGTTGGTGATTGCTTGGGGACTTTGATAAAAACATTCAGGGCATCTTTCTTGCCTTTCTTTGATGAGCTTTCCTCTTACCTAACACCTATGTTTGTAAGTTCCTTTCTTGCATCCGGAATGAGTCTTCCTAAGTTTTTTGTAGTTCTTGCTTAAAAGTTGTCTTTTTTTTTCTTCCCCTCTTAGGGCTTTTTCTTGTCTTTTGTCAAATCTTTTTCTTTTTAAGTATTTAATTTGAAGGAAAGATTATCTTTATTTCTCTTTTTTGTTTTGTATACCCTTTTTTATGGGGAAAAAGAAATTTAATTAGCCATAAAAGAGGAAAATACTATGTTGCCCAATTATTACGGTACTTCCTCTTGGAAATGTTCTTGGATGAAATTATGTGCTTTTCTAGTTATTATCTTTTGTTGATATTTGGTGATGGTGACTGCTAGAGGTGGCAAAGTGGGCGGCCCGCCCCACCCCACCCCGCCATCAACCCGCCAAAAAATGAGTCAGCCCGTCCCGCTTTTGAAAGTGGGCTGAAAAACTTAGCCCTCCCTGCCCCGTTTTGCGGGTTGGCCCGCCAGCCCGAACCTATTTTACACTGACCCGTCTATGCCCGCCATCAACCCGCCAAAAATTGAGCCTGCCCCGCCCCGCCCCGCCCCGCTTTTGAGATGGGTTGAAAAACTCAGCCCGCTCCGCCCCGTTTTGCCGGCTCTAGTGACTGCTTTTGGATGTTAGTTAATTCATCTGTAGTAATTTTGCAACATTCCTCTTCAATCCCCCTTCTCTTTCTTTTCCCCATCTTGTCTTTTATCTTATTTTCCCCTTCCCCAATTTTTTTTATTTTTTTTGTATTTAATTTTTTTTTTCTTTTCTATTTGTACTTTTATCTTATTTTATTATTTACTTATTTTATTTTATTATTTTTAATCTCCTCTTATTTATCATTGGGTTTATCTACCACCGACCCCAATTAGCTTGGGTTAAAGGTGCTGTTGATGTTGACTTTAAAACTGCCAGTTAAACACTAAGTTGTTCAGCAATAGCCTGATTAATGTTGGTTCAAATAAAAGTTTGTCGTGTTTTCTTTGTCTTATTTTTTTTTTTTTTTATTGTTAAAGATCGTAGAGAAATGTGAAACTTTGCTGATTTGCTGGTTTGCAGTTTATCCCCCTCCCCCAGTGTAAAGTAATCTGGATTGGGCAATTACTACCATAACTTGTATAGAACTGTCATCAGATGTGATGGTTAGCTCTTAGTATCTACTGGTTGCTAAGATGTCTGTGTGAATACACACATTTTAAAACCTTTAGCTTCTTTTAGACGCATTTGTCATTCAGTCCCTGATTAAAATTTATTCTCTTAATAATAAAAAATCAGGGTAAAGATAAAACTTCAGAGGAAAGGAGAATTGCTATTTGTGTATTTGATGATGTTGCTGAGCACTGTCGTGAAGCAGCTCTTAAGTAAGAATCCCCCCTGGGTGGGCTCCTCTTTCTTTTATTCTAATGTGAATTGTCTGGAGTTTCATGACAAAATTATTTTATTTCCTTTATTTTGAATGGTTTTGTTTTAAATTTTAAATGCTTTTTTATGTTGTTGCTACAGATATTATGATTCTTTCCTTCCATTCTTACTCGAAGCTTGCAATGATGAATATCCAGATGTTCGACAGGTACCCCCTCCCCCTTTGTTTACTTCCCTCCCCCTTTGTTTACTTTATATTAATTTTGCTTTTTAGTTCTGTTCTGTGTCATAATTGAGGTTCTTATAATCTCGCAAAACAAAATTAAATGTCTTTTCAGGCAGCAGTTTATGGGGTTGGTGTTTGTGCCGAGTTTGGTGGATCTGTTTTCAAACCCCTTGTTGGAGGTTAGTTACTCAACACCACTTGCTTATTTTGTTTTTGTGCCTTACTATATTGTTTGATCAATTATTCTGTTTTATTGCAGAGGCACTTTCAATGTTAGATGCTGTGATAAGGCATCCAAATGCACTACATTCTGATAATGTAATGGCATATGACAATGCTGTTTCAGCTCTTGGAAAAATATGCCAGTTCCATCGTGATAGCATAAATGCTACACAGGTAAATTGTATTTTGGTGCTTCATGTTAATAGAGATGAATACAGAAGAGAGAGAGAGAGAAAGAGATAGAAAAGCCATTGATATTATTCTGATGTAAAATGAATGTTACTCTCACGAACAGATACAGAGAGAACTATTTATAGACTAGGTGTTGCTGACTCAGCAGATAACCAACCTAACAACTAAGTAACAAACTCTGACAACTCTGATAACTGACTAACAGAATGGGTACTGATCAGGTGTGGAACACACCATAGAGATAATACTACAGCAATACAGTAAATCAGTAAACTAATAACAAAGCATTATTTATTTATACATGTCTGCACGGTCTTTTGAAATGCTGTTCTTGTTGACTTAATCTTGCATATGCTCACAATGTCATTTGAACAAGTATAAGTTGATAGTCATACTGATTGGGTTAGTGAGCTGTTATGCTACTACTGCATCTTGTAATGATTTTTTATCATTAGAATTATGATTTTGACTTGCCTTTATCCAGATCCGGCCCTGATAATGTGTAGGGCTGTCATCTTTCAGTTTTTGCTGAAATTACTTAGTGGCTTCCTTGGGTACCCCTCCCTTTCCCCCACTCTTTTTGTAGAGTTAGTAGAAAAATTACTACTTCAGATTTGTCAATTCTTGATACACACAGACAAACGTAATAATGATCTTGTAGTGTACTCTGAGCTTAGCACTATTTTGCATGCCAAGTAGATTACTTGTTTGCTGCCTTTAGTTTATTCAATCCCTAAAATTAAGGGATTTAATTGTATATACTGTAATTACGAATTCATGAGGCTTAGAGAGGATTTCTCTTATTCATTCACATCAGAAAAACTCTTATTCAAGTTGGTATCTGAGCTTGTACGTTCTTGGGCCTGAACCCTAAAAGTTCTGTGCTCCTACTGGCCATCAAGGTTGGAAGTATTAGAGAGTACATGCAGCATTCTTAGTATAGTGTACTCTGCTAATTACAGCAGTTATTCTGTTAGCTGATGTCACTATCAGTTATCCAGTTGAGCTGTTAGACTGTTAGGTGGTTCAAATCACTCAAAACAACATATAAATCAAAGACTGAATACTGCAGAATTTCGAGGGTCTGCAACCTCCAATGCCCAAGGGCCCCAAACTTGGTTAATCTCTCCCCTAAATTTACCTCCCTTTTATCTTTGGCTCTAACTATTTTGCCTTTCTCCCCATCATCCTTGCCACGTAGGCAAGGTTGTTACAACCTCAATTCCTTTTCTGTCCCTTACATATAATTATCGTGTAGCCTAGCATATGAGTGTCTAACATATCATCTCACGGAAAAGCAAAAAGCATATCGTAGTTGCAAGATCAAGTCCATACTTAGAATACCAATCTATGGATCTCATTACATATGAACTTATTTGGTTGAAACAACGACTTCAATAATTAAATTTTTGCAAGGTAGGCCCCATGAAATTCCTGAGAATCTAGTAGGATTGCACATTGCCTCCAATCTAGTCTTTTATGAGCGGACCAAAGATATAGTGATTGACTTCCATTTCATTTGTGTCAAGATTCTCTCATGAGAAATCACTACCTCCTTTGTGAACTCTAATGATCAACTAGTAGATATTTTCATTAACAAGCTAGATGCATATGACATATATACCTCAGCTTGAAGGGAAGTGATTTTATATAAATGGCTGGTAAATTCCTGATACATTCTGTAAATAGAACAGGAAATAAATTATATGTTTGCTGTATTTAGTTTAGTCAATCCCTAAAACTTGAGGGATTTGGTTGTGTATAATGTAGTTATAACTTATAAATTCATGAGGCATGGAGAGGATTTTTCTCAAGTCATTCACATCAGAAATACTGAGTCCAGTCCAGTAATTGATGCTTTTCTGCAATGACAGCAATGTTATCAATATTGGACACAATTATAATATGAATTTTAAGATCATAATTTATTATTATCAATAACTTGGTGGGTTCACTGAAATTTCTAGGCTTCAAAAACTGGTTTTAGGATAAGATGGGTTCTAAGTTCTTACATTCATTTGTGAAATCCTCATTGAAATGAAGTTTAGATAAAAACTGATCTGCTTGTGTGTTTGATTTCTAACTTCCGTTGATTATTGTGTGGTGGCAGGTTGTTCCTGCCTGGCTAAGTTGCTTGCCTATAAAAGGTGATTTAATTGAGGCTAAGGTTGTGCATGAACAGCTTTGTTCAATGGTTGAAAGGTATTATTTTGATCCAGAATATGTTATGATTGAATGCTATTTGCCTAATATACTACCTCTTGTTCCTGTTGCCTATGGATTTTGATATGTTTGTCATATGCATTCAATTTCAGATCAGATAGAGAACTTATAGGTCCTAACAATCAATATCTTCCCAAAATTGTTGCAGTTTTTGCGGAGGTACAACCATTCTTCTTTAAATGCCAGTTCTCTTAGTTACTGCTGTTAGATTTTGGTTCTACTTCCTTTTCCCTTCTAAAATATGTTTGTTTCGCATCAACTATGGTGTAGATTTTATGTGCGGGAAATGATCTGGCAACTGAACAAACTGTCAGTCGGATGATTAATCTATTGAGGCAGCTTCAACAGACTTTGCCACCTTCTACCCTTGCTTCAACCTGGTCATCCTTGCAGCCTCAGCAGCAACTTGCACTTCAGTCCATCCTATCATCCTAAGTTATTTTGGATTGTTAGTGTGTTTCATTACCTTCAGAAGATGCGCGTCTATTGTAATGGGATTTCATAGTTGCCCTTTGGGAAGCTGCTGTCAGGTCAAATTTGTTCCTTTAGCCATTGGAGTGTCATTTTTAGACGAGCAGCTGCGTCTGGTTCATGCTACTTAATTGCTGAATCCATTTTTGGTGATACTAGAACTTCTGAGGTATGGCTTTGTCTCAGAACAGCGTTGAGTGGGTTGGATGAGAAACAGAGTTTTGGTGTTGAATGTGTAAATTTAAGTGTTATGGTCTGAAGGAATTCTTGGTGTTACAGGGATGAACAACGTGACTCGGTCCTGTCTATGGATGATAGGGACGAGGCGTTTCCGAGTCATGAATGACTCAGTAAAATCACATAGCATTCTTTTGTTTTTTGAGTTGTAACAGTTTTGATGAGTCATATATATCCTTCGATGTTGGGAACAATTTGATAGTTTTATTTTATTTTGTATATTTGCTGGTTTTCTTAACTTGTTCTGCTCATTCCATTTTCTTGTAGTGTTGGTAAACTGATTCCCTCTAACCCGAAATTCATATAAAAATAAGATAAATATTTTATACATATAATATAACCACATATAATATAACCACGTAATTAATGATCTTGTATTATACCTTGTTTAAGTCCTTATGTCTTACATTTCTGCCATTTATTTTCCTTATAATTTTTTTTTTAGCCAAATGGCTGAACTTCATGTGGCCGATTCTTTCAATTTCCGGTTTGATACCTAAGAAATTCAGTCGTTGAATTTAAGTTAAAACTTTCACATTGTCATTGTAAAAAGAAAGTCTATAGTTTTTTCTTAAAAGGCATAAGTTTCTGCTAATACTGTCGCACATAATACATGGTTGTGAATAGTTAATGAATTACCCTGGTTTTTATTTTATTTTATCGATATCAATTAATTTGAATTTCTTTTCTTTTGGTTTATAATTATTGTTATCTTCATCTGTCTATTTTATATTTCTATGTTGTCAATCATTTCTAAGAAGCTGAAACAATTTTTTGGTGCTATGCCTAGTTTTTTGGTTTGAGCATGTTATTCTGTGGATTGAGGCTAGTGTTGACTAAACCGAATTGAATCGGTCCTCTAATTCTAACTTTGTAGTTTAACAAGAATAGAGTGTATTTATTTTTAAATGATTTAGTGGATTAGGATGCCGTGTATTGTAGATCAAATTAGGGTTTAAAAATATTTTTATTTGTTCATTTTAAATCAAAGTAGCTGGTCATAAATTTTTAATTTAAAAACTCTTTTCACATTTCTTGAACGTTTCGTTCAATAGATTTCATATGGTTATATAAATGGGTTTTATTTTTCAGCAGCATTTGCAAGAGCAAATATCTAATATTGAGACAAAAAAATCAACACTATTTTTTTTATAAAAAAAAAAATAGCTTGCAAAAATGATGTGAGAACAAATGCAAAAAACTTTCTGTAGTGGATGCAGAAATGATTATTTATATGTTGGGTATGATTTTTTGATATTAGTATTAAATTTAAAGTTTGATACCTCATCTGAGAACAGTTGGATTAAAAAAGATCAATGATGTTACATCTATAAAAAAATAAAGATGTGGGTCTCACCTCTTTGTGAGAGTGAAATGATATAAGTTGTGTCATTTAAAAGGACAAATATTTTTTCCATATATTAATGGTTTCAATCAATCCCTTTAATCAATTGAGCTATCCAATGTCCATCAACTAACTCGGATATTTGAAAAGTTCTCACGTACCACATTTAAAAATAATAATAAAAATCTTGGTTTTATAAATCATAAAAATTATTGAAATGACAATGTAGTTTCTTTCTTTCTTTCCGGGAAGAAATTCAAGAGTTGAAAAAACTGGGTCTCTAACTTAAAGCTTAGATTTGATCAATAGTTAGTAAAAGTTTTACACTATCAACAAATTTCATACTATTGTGATAATAAAGGTTTTTTTATTAGCAAGACTTTTTTGTTGACAGTTTTTAAAATGTATGGTACCATGTACATTATTAATAATATAACATTATAGCATTGTCAATGGATCAAATCAAATGATATAACTTGTTCTTACGAGTTGACATAAATGATAAGTTTTTTGACTCCTATCGTATTAGAGGGGCTAAATGAATTCTCATTCATTTATTTGTCTTTCCACTGTTCACAAACTACGCCTAAGTGCTACTCATTTCAATCTTCGTGAACCGAGAAGAAATAGTTGTAGTAGGTACCAACGAAATTATATGGGTGGGGAATATTAAAAACAGCCTTAAAAGCATCATTGACTTATAAATACGGGCTTGCCATTTCAATACATTTTGGTCATTTAAAAAAATTCAAATGACAATTGAATTAGATTATTTCTAAATGCGTTAATTAGCTTTAAAATGCATCTAAAGGCTACATTTGATAAGCAACCAAGGAAACTAAAGGATAATGATACATAGAAAATTAGAAATGAGACAGAGTCTTTTGTTTTTTTTGGGGAGAAAGATTCTCATTGAAACTCATAAAGGCCATCTTTACCTGATTAGTAGTTGAAGCATCCAACATCGGGTTTATCCTAATACAGACATTTTCATTTTTGTATTATATATTGAGAATTCAAAAATATTGTTCATCAAAGGAACACGGGGCACTTGGACTCTCCCTCTTTTTTTTGGTTTAATTTGGGATTAAGTTGAATTGCAATATTACATACAAATCATTGGGAAGTTGCATTTTTCTGGTAGCACGGCAATTCTATTATTTGATCTTTTCCACTTAAATTATCTTCTTCTTTTTTTGACAGATTAATTAAACTTTTTAGAGTGATTATTCGTACCATGCTATTCAAATGTTGATGAAGCTTAATTTCTTTACGTACCTTTTGCTTTATAATACCAAACTTAAAATTTCAAGCTACATGCATTAAAAACCTGGCAATTATTTAAACATTGATTAGTGATGAATTATTGTGGTCATTAATTATGATGATTGCTAACATAAACTTGAATCTTGGAAATATTTTCCAAGATAACATTACCATTTTGGGTTGCTAATTTATTTATGACTTTAATATTTTTAAAGTGAATGTAGATAAGTTATCTACATTTGCTTCCAAAACGATGTCGTTTTGGGTTGAAAAACTAAAAAATTATAATGAAAAAGACTTTTATAACCTTGAAATAAATTATAATTACAAAAATACTTTGATTTCCGCCTCAAAACGATATCGTTTTGGGCTTAATGTAGATAAGTTATCTACATTGACTTTAGAAAAAGCGAACCCTTTATTTATTATGATAAACTTGTGTCATTTTCCCAATATCTTCATTCTTGTTTGACGTGAGATCCATATATTGTGAACTTTAATGGCATGCAATAATTCATTATTCAAATTTCATTTCGTAATAAGATTAAATAAAAAAGCACTTCTTCAATGATTAACTTAAACTGAATTATATTGTTTTTTAGGTACTAGCAAGTTGTCTTTCTCAATCGATTAACAAAGATGATAATGAGTTAATGACTATGTCATATGAATTATAAACTTGGGATTGGTTGAAAGATGCTGAAGAAGAATCTATGATCATAAACATAATATATATAACGGGGACCAAAGGGTTTCGTTAGTGACGTTAACAACATACAACAAGCGCAGCTCGCACGATATATGTGTTAATTAATACATTATATTATTATGTGTAGACATATAGGTGAGGTGACCACTGACATGTTCATCTTATAATAGTACCAAACATGCATGGTTTTAGTCTCTTAGTTTATGGGTACATTTGATGGATCATTTTGGAGCCTCCAAGTGGCAGCTATTCATGCCTTCACCACCACCCTTTCAACTGTTTGACTTCGTAAAGAGGGGAACATGGAGGACAAGGGACAGGGTACCCTTTTTTCAACTGTTGGTTTTTATCTAGGTGACTTGGTGATTCCATATTCTTTCGCATGCCGTTTTGGATCATTTGACAAAAGGCATTATTTTATATGACCATTTCTAGATGTAGTAGGGGTTGCTAGGTTAAATAATACTTGTATGCTTTTCAACATTTTTTTATTTTTGTCACAAAAAATACCTATATTTTTTCTCATAAATTTTGCTTGTGACATTATTTTAGATTTGTCATTCGTTATGATATTAGGGGAAAATATTTCTGTTTTTATTGCATAAATATTTTATCTGTCACACTTATAGAAAAAGAGAGAGAAAATTTAGTAGCACTCGCTCACTTTTTGTAAGTGTGACAGAAAAAATATTTTTACAAAAATATTAAACCCTATTTTTTTGTGCTAAATCTACCCTCAAATTATCAATTGGAGATTTTAATCTTTTAGACCTAAAAAAGATGCAAATCTACACATTCTTGTTTGAGTGTGTGTGGATTTAGATTCTCTCTTTTTTAAGGTATAAGCAACTTATAAGTTAAAACTAAAAAAAGAGTTTAAAAAAAGCTAAAAGCTGTTTAGTAATCACATAAAATTTTTAGCTTAAAAGTTACATAAAAGCATATATTTCAAGAAAATTATATCTCTCTATCTTTATAACTCTTCATTATAAAAAAAGTATACAATTCAAGAAAAGCAGATAAGAGCTTAAAAAAAAAGCTCCTAGCCCGTTTGGATGGGCTTTCTTCTTCTTCAAAAGCTGCTTTTTTTAAGAAAAAAAAGCACTTCTCGAAAAAAGTCTGTTTGGATGTCTGCTTCTAAAAAAAAGCAGAAGTCATAAAAAAAGTCAAAAATCTACTTTTTTCGGAAGCTAAAAATTTTAGCTTTTAAAAAAAGCAAAAGTCAAAAGCCAAATATTTTTTTCAAAAATTAAATATTTTTAAAAAAATCTAAATAGCTGTAACTTTTATCGAAAGTACTTTTAAAATAAAGAAGTGATAAAAAAGACTTTCTTGAAAAGGCAATGCAAACAAGCCCTTAGGAGCTTTTAGCTTTCAACTTTTTTCTTCACTATAAAAAAAAGAGTTTTTTGTTATAAGAACTTTTCTCAAAATCTGTTTGGCCTAGCTTATTCTTGTAAGTAGCTTCTAGCTTAAAAACGAGAGATTAGAAGCAATTAATATGTGATAGGTGTGAAACAGTGCTTGATATATGGATTGAATTGTAACTTATCAGAAAATTCAAGAAACAAACAAAGAATCTGAGCCTTTTTTTTTTCAGTTAGGGAGAAGTAGAGTTAGAACTTAGAATTTAGGTCCTTAGTTAATTCTTTTCCCTGTTTGTTTAGAATCATAATGCTTTAATGATAGCTACAGGAGCTGCAATTCAGTTGAAAAAGTAAGCGGAACCATTGAATTTGAAGGGTACCTTGTCTGCATCATTCAAAATTTAAAATACTCTAAATTTAAAAATTACACAATTCACAAATTTCAAGATGATAAGAATGGGGTTTTGCACATTTTTGGGCATTATAATATATTAATCCTCTGCATGTAATATATTAATCCCACTTGCTTGTTAGAAAGCTTGGCAACTTTTTCATACATATATATATATATATAATCTCACAGCTTGCAAACAACAACATCAAGATTAAGTAATAATAGCATTTCATTATTATCTAAAGCAGTTTCTTCTCCTCTTGTCTCTCTTTTTGATATATCTATCTCCTTATAACTTCTCCCACCCAAATACAAATCCTTGAACAATTTGTGATGGAAATTCATTTCCAACAACCAAACCTGCAGCATCAGAAAGCAAGCATTTCAGTCACAAAAGGAGGCAAATTCAAAGGGAGAAATAGAAACAGCAACACAAACAAATTTGTTGGTGTGAGACAAAGGCCTTCAGGGAGATGGGTAGCTGAGATCAAAGACACAACTCAGAAGATAAGAATGTGGCTTGGAACATTTGAGACAGCAGAAGAAGCAGCAAGAGCTTATGATGAAGCTGCATGTCTTCTTCGTGGATCCAACACTCGCACCAACTTCATCACTAATGTCTCATTGGATTCTCCTCTTGCTTCTCGGATTCGAAATCTTCTTAACAACAAAAAAGGTGTCAAACAACAAGAAGATGTTGTTGTTGATGCATCTTCCTCCTCAAGAGTTAGCACTTCTAGCAGCAGTGTTAGCAATACTAGTAGTGATTCAAGCAATAATGACAACAATAATAACAACAACAACTCTCTTCTTTCTAGTGAGACAACTCAGAACACTAAGCTGTTTGATGATGCATATAAGCCAGACTTGAGCAATTGCAGGGAGGACTTTGAGTCATGTCCTCAATCCAATGTTTCATGGGGTTTTGGATCTGTCTTTGATCGTTTTCCTATTGCTCATGTATTGGATATACCTAAGATTGATGGCTTGACTGATACTGTTGACTTGGAGCTTTCAGAATTTGAAAGGATGAAAGTTGAAAGACAAATTTCTGCTTCACTTTATGCAATTAATGGAGTGCATGAGTACATGGAAACTGTTCAGGACTCCAATGAAGCTCTATGGGATCTTCCACCCTTATGCTCATTGTTCTGTTGAACTTTGAAGGTCTAAATGATCCTGCAAATGTTTCTTCCCAATATCATTGCAGTACTATATATGTTTACTATTATTGTAAACTTGAGGGAAGAGAGTAAGATCAAGGATTGATTGAAATATTACAATAACATATATAGCTTTAGTGAGATGATTCTGTTTTCCTAATTGCTTTCTAAATGTCACAAGGAAGAACCATGAGTTGCATTATTTTCTTGAGGGAGCCCTTTTTTCAGTCTTTGTTATGTAGGAAGTGTAAGCATTTATTTCACATTCCTAATATCAAAAGTAAAGCTTGAAGTCTCTTTTCTGTCAAAAGTCACTTTTTTAAGAATATGTCAGTGTGAAAATCTAGACTATATGTTCTTCACATCTCTAATATCAAAAGAAAAACTTGAAGTCTCTTTTGTAGGATTACATTCACTGTGAAAATCTAGACTTTGGAGGCACAATAAGCATATTGGAATCTTGGACCTCACAGCCAAACTCAAAATGACCTATTCACGTTGCTTTACATGAATAAACAGTAGAATTACACATCCTTGGAATTTCCTTATACAAAAAAGAGGCAAGTACTATGCTTGCTTTATTAATAATTTAAATAAAAAAAAGGCTTCAGTATCTTCTCAGATTTTGGTCCAATGCTGCTGCATAATTCATGTCTTTTGGTTATCTGCATTGGCCATTTTTATTTATCTTAATCAATTATGGCTAGATAAAAGTTATCTCATTATCATGTGCCAAACCTTAAGAGGGTGAACCATCACAGAAATGATTAACTCAGGAATCTTTTAACATATTTGGAGATTAAGTGATAGGACTAAGATTATATATCTCATCACATCCAAAGATATGGTTAACATCTTTCTCACAGTTTTCAAAGGCATCATTTTCATTTTACCTGTTTTGTGGACCCAAAAGCTCCATTTCTAATATTATAATTTTCTTAATCCTTATCCTCCCTTCTTTTCCATATGGCTCGTGAAGACTACATTGAGACTTAGCTATCAAGATAGAATGGTACTCTAAAACAACCAACTAGATAATTCCAATGGCTAAACTCTGAAGTAAGGACCAAAACTAGATATTGGCCGTTTGAATCTAAGAACAATGTCTCTTGGTTTATATGAATTGCAAGAAGAGACAAATCATATGGGAAGTATAATAAATGATGTGAAAAGTTCTAAATCAAAACGCGTTAGCATAACAGACTAGCAAAGAATAAAGAACCATTATTCAAAGGCATTCTAACATGGGATAACTCAGCACAATATTTACAAAAAGAAAAATGTGAACAAAAATGTATGTAGTTAAGGATAGGCTAGTGAGATACTTATTTTGTTGCAACGGTTACTCGGATGAGAACCAAACTTTTTTTTTTTCCTTTTTTAATTTATGAAATGACTATTCTTTACAAAACAATGATCACACCTTTCGATAAGTGCAATTTTATTTTGTTAGGCACGAAAAACCACCTTCAACGTGGCAATATTCCATAACCATGGCATGCACAAGAAGTTGTTCAATAACAAAAAGAGGCTTGCTTCATGCTATATAACACTACTATTATTTATAATATTCATGGCATGGCAGACTTCAAGTCTTTCACTGATGTTCACTACACATGGTTGGAATTTTTTATTATCACATTTATTATTATTCTCTTGCATTCTAAAGAGAAATGACATTTGCACATAATTTTTCTTGTTTTTGTTCATGCTATCTTGTTTAGGGGAAAAAAAAGTGTTTTGAAATGTGTGTTTAATTTATTTTATTAATCTAAAGGGAAATAGTATAAGAATGGTGTAACAAAATTGTAATTTTATTAAAAAGCACATTATTTTCTCGTTTTATAAAAAATTGTAATTTTCTTATTATTATTTTTTAATTTAAAGATTAGGATTAAATACTTTTTTCTTATCGAATATAATATTGTTCTCGCTTTTCATTAAAAATATGTTTTGCTGCATCAATTGATTTTGAAAATATGTGCTTGAGTTCGATTAATTGACACCCTGACTAAAAGTTTTACACTAATTCTAACTTTTTAATTATTTAGTATTGTAATGTAATGCTCCGTTATACACCCATAAATATTAATATTACTTATGATATAATGCGCAGTTAGAATTACATTGGTTCACTTAAAAATACGTATAAATTTTTTCTTTTAAAAAACCTTGTTCATTTTCCTTTTCAAACATTACCGTATTTAAAATAACCAATTACGTAATTATAACCATGTGACGTGCGGAATAACTATATCCTTACTTAATATCATTTATTATGTATTACACACAATTATAAGGGTTGCTTACACCAACACGAGGTATACTTTTATTTTTCACCAGCAGGGGTAGAGCACTTAAGCCCCTTGCGACAGAGTCTTTCTCCACGCACAGATCCTCCTACGTGCTTAAGCTCTCTCATAAGCGCTTAAGCTTCCTTGTGAGCGCTTAAGCTCTCTCTGATAGATAAATCCTCGAAAACTTTCTGCTACAGCGCGCTTAAGCTCCCTTATGAGCGCTTAAGCACCATCCACCTGTACAAAACACTACTTCCCCTGTTTTCATGTATTTCTCTTGGGAACTTTTTGTCCAATGCCATTACACCAACAAACTTTACATATATCATTGTACACACCAAAATGGTAATAACATAATACCTCATTACATCAATGTTCTAATGAATCATGTACAACAATGTTCTTAAAAATAAATACATGCCAAAGAACTTAGAACAACATATGATCAAAGTCCCTATCCATATACATGAGTGCTATACAAAATGTCAATGGTCATCCTCTATGTCCCACATGAAGACCTGAACCAATGAAGCTTCAAAATTCTCTATACATGGACAAATACTAAATGGCATGCATAAGCAAAAGACAACAGCATCAACATATATCAATCTAGCTCAAATGTGACCACCTGCCACTAGAGGCTCCTGCAACATCTGTACCTTAAATAGCATTCCCTAAATGGGGTGAGATAAAAACTCAATAAACTCAGGGTTCTTGGAGAATTCCTCCAACCCAGAGTTCACTTCCTGCATGAAAGGTTAGTATCCACATGGCATGAACTACATCATATATCCAGAGGCAATAACAATAATGATTTCATAATAGCATACTCAAGCATTCAAATAGCCAAAGAGTTAAACAATCAAATCATCACACATGCTTCAGTTGCATCTTAGTCCTTTCCACTAAGATTCCAGCTTGACTCTAGTGATTGTCTATTGGCCTTTTCTCCTAGGGCTGTGCATGGGTCAGGTCGAGTCAGATTTTGTGCCGACTCGACCCAACTTGGTTTTTATAGGTCAGGTATTTTGACCCGATCCGCTTTAATTTGATCAAAGTCAGGTCTGACTTGGTTTGGACTTTTTTGAACTAGTTTAGAACTGGATCGGATCTGATCTGACTTGGTTTCTGAAGTGGGTCAAATCTGACCTGACCCGTTTCTGACTTGGTTTCGTCACAAAATTTCTACGTTGCAAACGACGAAAATTTTGTCACAAAATTAATTTTTCGTCGGAATACTTTTTGTCAAAAAGCGACGAAATTTTTTCTCTAATGAAAATTTTTACAAAAATATATTTTCTATCGAAATTTAGTTTTCGTCAAAAGTTTTGACGAAAATGATTTCCCCAAACAAATGTTTTAAACGAAAAAAGAATTCCGTAAAAAATTTTGACGGAATGTTTTTCGTTCAAAATTTCGATGGGAATGTGTTCTAATAAAAATTTCGACGGAAATTGTTTTGAGGGAAATGTTTCATTCGAAACTTTCGACGAATTTAGATTCTCTAAAGAATCCTGACAGAATATTTTTTCCGTCAAAATTTTTTATCGAAATAATTTTTTTCAAAATTTTTTACGAAAACTCTTGACAGAAATGTGTTTCGTTGAAAATTTTGATAGAAATGTTTTTTATCAAAAAAATTGAGGAAAATATTTAGTCGCAAATTTTCGATGGAAATGTGTTTCGCTAAAAATTTCGACGAAATTTTTTTTTGTCAAAAAGTTTAACGAAAATATTTCCATCGAAAACTTTTGCCGAAATTTGAATTCTGTAAAGAATTTTGATGAAATTTTTTCTGTCAAAAAATTTCGATGGAAATATGTTTCGTCGAAATTTTGGATGAATATGTTTTTTTGTGAAATATTTTGACGAAATTTAGATTCTTTAAAAAAATTTGACAAAAAAAAATTTCCGTCAATTTTTTTTACAGAAATATTTTTAGTCACAAATTTTGATGAAAATATTATTCGTCAATAAATTTTCGAAAACATTTGATGGAAATATTTTGCGTAAAATTTTTTGACGTAATTGTTTTAAGTTAAAACTTTTCTTTTAAAGTAATTGTGATTTTTTTGTCTTTTTTCTTTTTCACATAATGGGTATGGGTCAAGTTTTGGGTCAATGGGTCATTATTAAAACAAGTTAGGTCTAAAACTGACTCAAATAAAGTGGGTCAATATTTAATCCCAGTTCAAAAAAAATAGGTATTAATGGGTCAGGTCAAGGTCAGATCAAGTGAACCAGTTTTTTTGCACACCCCTACTTTCTCCAATGACACAACAATACTATATGAATGCAAGCATACCATAATATTAACATTACCATCAATCATCCAATCATTAACCATTACTTCCATAAAAGCAATGGTGGAACAACAAGAAGGATGAACCTCCAAGATCCAAAGGTTTACCTCTTGATGCTTCCTTTCTTCTGCAAGCTTTCTTCTAGTTCCACAACACCAATTTCTCTTGGTATGCGAACTTGGTAATTCTTTCCAATCACCAACACACCCTAATAAAGAGTGTGAACCAATCAACATATATACACATATTCAACATTTAATTTCAATCAAATCACTATAAATCTACCAAGAATTCCTATTTAGTGGCTTACCCTCTTTTCTCTTAAAACCAAGACTTAGGTTTTCAATCCAATGGATTCTACTCAATCAAGAGGTCCCCTTGCTCAACTCTAAATCATAAACATAATAAAACAACAAGGAAAACAACATCAAAATCACCCGTCAAAATTGATTTTCGTGACACTATTCATATGAAAAATTAACATCCATGAAACTGACTAAGATCATGGAATAAAGCATGCATGACAACTCACCATAGTTGTCTCTAGAATGAAGAGGAGCAAGTTTCCATGGCTCCAATAGCTTGAGACTCATCTAAATCACTCAAAACTCAAAATCTCTCTAAACCTTAGATAGATGGATATCCTCACACAAGGCCACCTAACTGAAAATGACAAGGGATTTGTACTCACAAGGTGAAACTAAGAAACTTTGCTTCAAGAATCAAAGGATTTCACCAAGTATTGAAGATTCTAGGTTTTGACAAGGTTTTCTCTCCTCGCACTCCCATGGTCGACGGTCAAATGAAGGGAAGGAGAAGAAGATGTAATGTTGGAGAGAGAAATGCTTATTTTCACTTAACAAATGATATTTAATTCAAAGACTCTTTTAGTCATTCTTTCATTTTATTTCCTCCCTTCCAAATTCCTTCTAATCCCATGACATAATCATCTTAGCATAAATTTTGTAACGCCCGGCCGCTTCAAGAATCAATGACTATCCCCTCATACTAACACGAGACTTTTCAATGTGTTTTTTCTCACTCGCACACTTCCTAGAAAAACTTCCTAAGAGGTCACCCATCCCAGAATTACCGCAAATCAAGCACGCTTAACTATGAAGTTCTTCCGTTCCGGGCTACTGAAAAGTAAATGCATCTTGTTAGTAAGGGTAGTACCAATTAATTCTTATAAGCTATCCCAAACTGTGCAGTCTCATATCTGCACAGTTTTTAGAATCCCTCTCTTTCGGGTGTCGATTCGATTCATTCATGTAACCCCCGCTGGAAGCTTGTCAGGAGTCGCTCCTTGTCCATGCCCTTTCGCACCGGCGATCACTCCCTGCCCTCATCAGCGCTTGGGATGTTACAAATTTAATATTCTTGTAGGTCATTAAATAATGTATCACCATATTATTTAACAGTTTTGGGTATAATTTGGTTAATTATCGTTTTACCCAAAATCTCTCACTAACTGCACATTCGCCCAAAAGAGACTTTATTCATTTAATTAAGCATTTTTACTTAATTAATTCAATTATGAATGATTAAATTCTTAATCTCATAATTACACAGGTTAAGGTTATTATATGTAATGTTTGGTTTTATTTTTTGGCTTTGAAAAAAATAGTGTTAAAACTAATATAATATTTAGGGGTGTACATGCCTACATGGAGTAATTCGGTTCGGTTTTTAATGAAAATAGAACTGAACTAGTTTGAATGGTTCGGTTTTCAAACCTAATCAATTTTTTTTCAAATTGGTTTGAAACTGATTTATGGTTTAAAATCAATTTTGATTAAACTGGTTTTGAATTGAAACAGGTTTATGGTTCAAAACCGGTTTTAATTTAAAATCAGTTCAAAATTCAAAATCAATTTAAAATTTAAAATTGATTTTGTAACCGGTTATAAACCGACTTCAAATCAAAAACAACTTGGTCTTCTATGGAAAATTTAAGTTTTTATGCGAAAATTATATTATATTTTGAGAAGGCTAGCTAATCTGTATATGGGTTTGATGTTTGTTATTTTAAGTGACATAAGTTATGTCATTTTAGGAGAGAGATAGACACAGAAAAATGGAAATCATGGGAGAGAGAAAGTGGGTGGTTTTTTTAATTTAAAATTCAAATTTTCTGTGTCTGTATCTCACTTAAAATGACATAACTTTCTGTCATTTAAAATGACAAACACTTTTCCCTCTTTATAAATAATATAAAATGGGAGAGAGGAAAAAAAAGTCACAGGTAAATTAGTAATCCATACTCCATAGTAAAGCAAGAACGAAATACAAAATATCTATATAAAAAGATTGAAAAATATGATATACATTATGTTTTCTCCATACATGTGGATCAAAGCTTCTACTAATGAATAACTTTTCAACTGCAAATGGATCAATTTTGAGTTTATGCCAAATTGGTTTTAATGGATCGGTATAAAAATCAACCTTGTTTTGCCTTTTCCTAAACCAAATTTTTTTTCTTTCTAAACTGGTTTAAAATCAGTTCAGAACCGATTTATGGTTTAAAACCTATTTTGATGTAGAATCAGTTCAAAATGAGTTTAAAATTGGACAAATTCAAAACCAGATCAAAACTAATCCAAAACCTAAACTGATTTGATTTTGGATCAAGAAAGGGAGCAATTAGCTAGTAAGGTTTTGAGTTCCATTTTGCAGTTTAGTTGGACTCCGGATACCTAGAGTCAATGCCACGACAACTGTTGTATATAATATAATGTTTACATTTTTAATATTCTAAAATGGGGAAGGATATTATAACAATCAAGTAGTGTTATTACCAATCAATTTCACCGTTAGATCGATTATGTTGATCTAACGGTTGTATTTATTTACATCTTTGTATGGTTATGATTCCCCATATTTAAAGTGAAAGCATACAAAGGTGAAAATAAATATAAAGTATTAAATATGAGAAATCATAACTATACAAAGATGAAAATAAATATAACCGTTGGATCAACATAATCAATCTAATTGTGAAATTGATTGTTAGTAATATTGGTAATAACACTACTTAATTATTACAATATTCTATTCCTTCTAAAATAGTAAAATACCTTATTATATCTAGAAAGATATTCCTAATTTTAAATATAATATTTATTCTTTGGGAAAATAGTTATCATTAATTATTCATTTACAAATTTAAGAACATAAATATGAAATGAAAATTATCAAATAGAAAAATATATAAACACGTGAGCAAATTAGTTGTCATAATTCTAATGCCCACGAGACGTACCAACCTCCGGTTTCACAATCTTTATATGTGTCACTTATGATTCACCGACACTTTAAAAACTATGATGTGTCGTGTCTGACACTCTCCGACACTTCGACACTCTCCGACACTCCAACACGCGTTAAAGAGATTAAAAAAAGGATTCGAACGTTGCATTATGTTGCTTTTTTAGTTTCAACTATTAGATTTATTGGATTACGATTACTATTTTATTGAATTTAATATAAATATTTAAGATATCTTATGTTTCTTTGCAAAATTGATGTGTATTATAAGTTTAGTTTTATTTTTTTGTTAAATTATTGAATATTAAATATAATATACACTACATAAATTTAAAATATTATTTAATATCAAAACGTGTCCTAACGTGTTAAAATCTAACATTTTTTAAAATTTATGTGTTGGAGTGTCGTGTCATATCGTGTTTCGTGTTCCGTCTCGGTGTCGATATAACATAGTCTCACACTCACTATCATATCCACCTAAACAATTTGGTTTTAAAAAATAGAAAATGGTTTGTTTTCAAAACCCGTTTAAAAAATCGGTTTTTACGAAAATAAGAAAAATAATAATAAAATGGTTTGTTCTTAAAATTACAAAATAAAAAAATAATAAAAATTGTAAACCTGGAACAATAGAAGAGTAAAAGTGACGATAAATCGTTTATCCTTTTAAAGAATATAACTTTGTGTCATTTTAGACTCTAACCGTTGATTTCCGTCAATCAACGGTTAAGATTTATTGAGTTTTAGTACGAATTACTAATTAATTAATAAGTTTGACCCAATAAATCCTACCGTTAATTGATAGAAATCAACGGTTAAGATCTAAAATGATTCAAAATTATATTCTTTAAAAGGACAAACATTTTTCTCATAAATATTTCCATAAAAATAATTACCAAATATTCAAATTAATTAGAACAATATCAATTTGTTTAAGCAAATCTCAAAATCCATATCAAATACACTTGGTGCAAACACCGATTGAATGAAGAAAATTTCTCTTCAAGTTTTGAGACTATACAATCACAATTTGGAAAGAGTAAACACCTCTTCGATATCATCATAAAACAATTTCTTGAAAGAATCCATGTGAGATGAATCCAAAGAAATAGCCACAATGACCCCATTACCATTAGCATTATTGAAAATGAAGGCCTTCCCTTCGGAATCCATAAATCCTGGGCCAAAATAAACAGGTTTTCCCCACCCAAAATCTGCATCCTCAAACGGGAAATTCATCCAACTCACAACAAAAAGGTTCGGGTTCCCCTTGAATGGTCCTTCATGTACACTTGTTGCAGGGTAGTGAAAATTATTCCTCACCATATTCATATCCTTTTGATTTTCTATATGACCAAGTGCTGACCTTACAAACTCCCCTGTCACCCTTTCAAGTGCTTTCCTAACATTCCAAGCTGCATAACTCAAAGGCTTTTGCATAAGGTCATCAAAGGAGCATGTTGGTGTCACTGTAGGAAATGCTGCATTCCCTGCATAACAATCAAGAAAGGGTGGCCTCAACCTGTTTCTACAGTTAACCAATGTTGACAACCTTGTGTGTTGGTCACCATTTCCCTCATAGCGTGCTTTACTAACACACCTCCACAAGTGCCCTGCAATTACTTCAAAAGTTGAACAAGGTCTTGGTGCTGCAGCACTAGCACCATAGGCACTATTTACCTTCTTCTTGAGCTTCTCAACTTGTTCTTGTGTGAGTTTCACAATATCAACTACTACTACCCTTGTGTCTCCCAATTCACCTACCCAAGGAGGAGGAGGGTGAAACTCAAGATGTTCATGCAACCCCATATGAAGCTTTTGTGAATCTAGCAAAGTTCTATCATGGCATGGCATTTCTTTTAGGTCCACATTCTCTCCTCTTGCTAACATGGCCCATGTTCTCATGAAATGCATGGTTGCTATTCCATCAATTACAGCACGACACAAGGCAACACCTATGACAAGACCACCACATTGGAATCTTGTTAGTTGCACCACTAGCAGAGGAACCTCCTCAATGGGAACACCATAATCAATGTTTGGCATAAGCTTTGACACCAAATTGGTTGGCACAAAATCACCCAAATCATCCAAGTTCTTCACTTCGTCACAATTGGCTTCCAATAACCACGCTCCCTTGCCATTGCAATGGATTTCCCATTGTCCTCCTTCAATCCAACTCAACCTCCCTGCAAGTGGATAATAAATAACCAAAGCTTTGCTTAGAGAGGTCCTCAGGATGTGAACAAAGGTTGATGCTTTTTCATGGCCATGTGGCTTGTACACAAAAAGGAGAGGAGCATGGGTGCGAAGCTTGATTTGTTCACACAAGGAGTATAGTTTTTCATTTGGGGTGGGTTCAGAGGGTGTGACAGTGTAACAAGATTGAACACTAACCATTGTGTATGATTGTTTTCTCAGTTATTTCTCTGCTTTTCTCTTTTAGTTCATTAAAGGGATTGTATGCCACTTGCTGATGCTATAGCAGCATAAGTGGTTGTTTCCACCTCTTCAAAACACGTTAGCATAACAGACAAGCAAAGAATGAAGAACCATTCTTCCAAGGCATTTTTTAAATTTATTAAATAACTATTCTTCACAAAACAATGGTCACACATTTTGAAAACTTCAATTTTATTTTTTTAGGCATGAAAAACCACCTTCAACATGGCAATTCCATAACCATGACATGCATCCCACAAGGCAGAAACGAGTTGAACTGGTCAAATTTGAAAGATATATGACATTAGAGAACATGAGTGCAGACAAGTCACGTCTGAGCCTTGTCCTAGGTATTGTCTAAGATCAACTAAAAAAGAAATAAATTGAATGTACTGCTTGCCGGTGGAACTTGCAATGACATAGGAGTAAGAAAACTTTGACCAAACAAGAAGTTGTTCAATAAAAAAGAGAGGCTTGCTTCATGCTATATAACACCACAATTATAATATTCATGAGAAAAAAATTAATACAATATCATTTTAATAAAAAAATACGAAGATACAGTCACTTTGAACCAATTTACGAATATATTGCATTGAGTCACGCCTAATGGAGGCATCAATGGTGCAAAGTCGCGACCCCACACAGGCGCGATTTTGCACCATTCACACATGACACAAAAAGTTAATATTTTGACCGTAAACTTTCGAAAGGCCGTAACTTTTGACTTGGGTTACGAAATAATGTGATTTTTTTTATTCCACATAATTTTTCGATATTTATGCAATGACATCTCATTGAAGGGGATTCGGACAAAAATAGTTTCTAATTTTTTTTTCAAATTTAAGATATTTTACCGTAAACTTTCATAAGGCCATAACTTCAGAAGAGCACGTGATTCGGACACTCGAATAAAAAATTATGGCCTTATGAAGTTTTTCGATAAAATATCTTAAATTAAAAAAAAAAAAATTGGAAACTTTTTTGTCTGAATTCCTCTCAATGAGATGCCATTGTGTAGATCTCGAAAAATTATGTGGAATCAAAAATAAAATTAACTGATTTAGACACCCGAGTCAAAAGTTACGGTCTTTCGACGTTTTACGATCAAAATATTGGTTTTTTGTGCCACATATCACCGTGTGAATGGTGCAAAGTCGCACTTGTATGGGGCACGACCGGTCGCGCTTGTGTGGGGTACAACTTTGCACAAGTTGCGTCTGTATGGGGCGCATCCTTGCACATGAGTCGCACCTAACTGAAACGCGATTAACTACTATAGATTCGTAAATTGATTTCAAATAATAATATATTAATTTTTTTGCCAATATTCATGGCATGGCAGACTTAAAGTGTTCCACTGTGTTCACTACAAATGAAAGGAATTTTTTATTATCACATTTATTATTATTCTCTTGCATTCTAAAGTTGAGAATAGGATAAAAAGCCTTAACATGAGAATATGCTTTTTTTTTTTCTTTTTACTTTTTAAATAAATTATCAGGTATCCTAGGCAACTAGCGCCAATTAATCTAAATTCAAGCTAGTCATAAGTATAAGGGTTACAAAACTCTCCCAATATAAGTTTTTAACACAGCTACGTACTCAAGACCACGGATTAATCTAGAATAACTCTGCTAGTTGATTAAGTTTGTTGCAATTAGTGTAGCTAATTTAGTTTTTTTTATTGGTATAGAAGAAAGGTAAGAAAAAAAAATTACTAGCACTTAAGGAACACAAACTCCTTTGCTTTTTTAAGAGATGATGAACATCAGTGAGAAAGGATCCGTACAGATGGAAGTGCTCATTATTATTAGTCTGTTTAGATTTGCAAAGTTTAAATTAGTATACCTGATTTTGTTGCATCTCATTATTTGTACATATACCATTGGACAATATGCTCCACAAATGTTGCATAACTGGAAGTGTAGAAGTAGAAGCACAGACCTTCACTTGTTTCCACAAACAATTAAGAGAGACTGATAATACCATCTATGGTTTTGCAATACCGATTTCTCCTCAGGGTTGATTTGGTTGGAGCAAATAGGAAGGTGGGAATGATAATGTATTAAATATTACCATTTTTCTCCCCTCTTCAATTCCACCAGTCATTTATTTCATCTCTGCAGTTTCTTATTTTCTTCATGTTAACTTGTAAACACATTACTATTTCAAAAGATGAAATAAATATCTAATATCTTTTCAAGTAATGACAATTTGCAGCATTCTTATTCAGCCATTTATTTTGCTCTGCAATAAAACCAGCAAGGGATTTAAATGACAATTAAACTAACATTGTTCATGACGAAAACAATTGTCTCAACACTAAACTAGAAACAACCATAAGAACAGAGCTAGCACACAGCTGAAAGATGCTTAGAAACAATACACAAGGAGGGACATTACACATCCAGAGACACAAAATAGAGAAAAGAAGGGACATGTAGGTAGCTGAAGATGAAAGATTGACTATTTTCAGTAACCATCATCCTCTTCTTCACCTTCTGCTCCAACTTCTTCGTAGTCCTTTTCAAGGGCAGCAAGATCCTCCCGGGCTTCTGAGAATTCACCTTCTTCCATTCCTTCACCCACATACCAGTGGACAAATGCCCGCTTAGCATACATGAGATCAAATTTGTGATCAATGCGAGAGAAAACCTCAACAACAGCTGTGTTGTTGCTTATCATACAAACTGCACGCTGCACCTTTGCAAGATCCCCTCCTGGTACTACAGTTGGAGGTTGGTAGTTGATACCACACTTGAAACCAGTAGGACACCTGAAAATTAGTCATCAAAATCAATCAGATTTTGTGAAGAGAAATGGAAAATTCCAAAGAAGAATATGTCCCCTTAGAGAATAGGATCCTCCAGCACCCTCTTCCTCCACACCCCAAGTAATTAGTTCCGATCTTTCCAACTCATTTTTATCTCCTATTATTGGACAAGGTCTTGAAAAGTAACTTGTTTTGCTTCACTAGTTTACAGCTTATCCACTCTTTTTACAATTAATCCCTTTCTTTCTTTCTTTTTCTCAAGAGATCCAAACCAAAGACCTAATGAATTTCATACCAACATGCACCAAGCTCACTGTTGAACCTGATGCTTCTAGAAAATGAGACCCAAAGTTAGGACATTTCTTCAAAAATTCTGTTACGATGTTTTTGTCAATAGAGCAGTTATAAGGTTTAGCACATCACTAAAGCAGGTCTAAATCATAACTAAACAATTATCTATAGCTACCAGATAATAGTGTCATGCAAAAATGCATAATTTAAGCATTTTGATCATTATCGGTAGTTTAATCAATCAAAATAAATGCCAATATATAAGGAACTATAAATAGATAGTACAAAGCATGAGGCAGTTAGAATTACAACAGAAAGAACAAAACCATTAGGCAAGGAACATAATCTAAATTATCCCACATAATATGTCATTCCAATGAAGTCTAATTACCAGTCAACAAACTGAATTGTGCGCTTTGTCTTGATATTTGAAACAGCCGCATTTACATCTTTGGGTACAACATCTCCACGATACATCAGACAGCAAGCCATGTATTTCCCATGTCTTGGATCACACTTAGCCATCATACTTGATGGCTCAAAAACAGCACTGGTGATTTCGGGAACCGATAGCTGCTCATGGAAAGCCTTCGCAGCAGATATTACAGGGGCATAAGATGAAAGCATGAAATGGATACGAGGATATGGCACAAGGTTAGTCTGGAACTCAGAAATGTCCACATTAATTGCACCATCAAATCTCAAGGAAGTGGTCAAGGAAGAGATAATTTGAGAAATCAGACGATTTAAGTTAGTGTAAGTAGGCCTTTCTATATCTAATGATCTTTTGCAGATATCATATATTGCTTCATTGTCCAAAAGCACAACCACATCAGCGTGCTCAAGAAGAGAATGAGTGGAAAGAACACTGTTGTAAGGTTCAACAACTGCAGTAGATACCTGCATGTTAAACAGTACTACCATAAGGAGTGGAAAATCAATAATAATATATACATATAAACAATTAATAAGAAAAGCATAAAACATGAATTAAGAAAACCAAGAAATCCCAGAAGAATGTAGAGCAACAAATGAGAAAGTATCTCTAGTAATATTAGCCTGTACTTTCCTTTGTGGCAATGTTCATATCTTAGAATATTCAAAAATAAAACTGGTGATATCCTACTACATATCACTGGATTTGTTTCCATTTGAACTTGACTAGGAAGGCAAGAGATATATTTCTTACAGGAATACTGTCCTGAATAAAAGGCCCGAAACCGAAGATTGTATGATGTTAATAGATATTTGATGCTCCAAAAACAGTTGACTTTACTTTCATTCTTATTTTACAATTACTTTAAGAAAACACCTGAGGAGAAGGATAGATAGTAAAGCCAAGTTTAGACTTCTTTCCATAATCTACAGACAACCGTTCCAAAAGTAATGATCCCAAACCAGAGCCAGTACCACCACCGACAGCATTGAAAACCAAGAATCCTTGCAAACCAGTGCAATTGTCTGCTAATTTTCTCATACGATCAAGGCATTGTTCAACAATTTCTCTTCCAACTGCAGCATAGATACACAATAAGTGGCACTGTCCTGTTAAATATTGAAGAAAATAGCTAATTTCGACCAGCATTAAAAATTGAATTACCAGTGTAATGTCCCCTTGCAAAATTATTAGCAGCATCTTCCTTGCCAGAAATTAATTGCTCCGGGTGAAAGAGTTGTCTATAAGGACCAGATCTTACTTCATCAATAACAGTAGGTTCCAGATCAACAAATAAAGCCCTTGGCACATGCTTGCCGGATCCCGTCTCACTGAAGAAGGTGTTAAAAGCATCACGTGCAATGCCAATGGAGTTGTCACTGCAAGTAGACCAAAATCAGCATTATTTGTGCCAAAAGTAAAGGGAGAAACAAGTAGAAAAGATACGTCAAAAATCAAGTCCTAGCTTTTGGGCAATGAGAAATTAGAAGCTTAAAAGGTGATAAAATCCATTCAATATGAATTTAGGCACCAAATTGTTTTATACACTAGCACCCCACCAAGTCTCCTAACAAATCAATCATATTATCAATGTATAAAATATGAAGAAAAGTATGTAAAGAACCTTGGGATACACCACCCCAAAAGCTAGCTCAAAGGGTGGGAGTGCGCTCAAGACCTTATAAACTCCACATTAGTTGCACATACAACCAATGTGGGACTATATATCTCAACACGCCCCCTCACACGAGAGCCCATTGGGCTTGAAGAGTGGACAATGCAACAGGCCCAGCCTACCTGTGCTAAGAAACGCCACAAGAGAAAGTGGGGGGCGGCGAGGCTCTGATACCATGTAAAGAACCTTGGGATACACCACCCCAAAAGCTAGCTCAAGGGGTGGGAGTGCCGAAAGCCTTATAAACTCCACATTAGTTGCACATACAACCAATGTGGGATTATATATCTCAACAAAGTAGAATAGAAATTCAACTAAAAGGTAACAATAGAAATGAGGGTGGGGAATGCGGCAACAATCATTTAATCACAAACTCAAACAGAAATAAAGTGAACAAATTAAGTTATAGTTCAAGAACCCACCATAAGGTTCCGAAATTAAGTTTAAACACACGAGCGTCAGAAATATAACTACAGAATATACAGTAGAAAGATGTTGATCCAAATTGAAGAGATATGGTAGCACTCTTTGGGTCTAAGCAGAGTGCTAGCCACTCATTACAAGCAATATCCTACTTAACATATAGCTATTACAAATAAGCTCAATCAACGATTGATGAACTGTTTTGTATGTGCAAATTAAAAAATTAAGGGATTCTTATCCGCAGAAATAGCTTTACTACATGATTTTTCAATCACCTTTTTAAGGATCTGTGAGGATATCAGCTCACCTATGAGCAGATAATAATAGAAGTTCTAATTGAGAATAGCTAATAATTGAATAAGACTTAAATGAGAAGGAAAATATTTATTGAGAGAGAAAATCTTTGAAAATCTTGAGGAATTTCAGATCTCATTTTTATTTTTCAAGCTATCAAGAAGTAAAATTTCATGTCAGCATAAAGTCTTTGGTACTACAACATATATGGCAAACCTTGATTCCGCTAACCTGGTCAAAATTTCAAGTCAATATTTTTCCCAACTTTTTCTCCTCCTTTTTTTTTTTTCTTACTCATGAAAAGAGGGAGCTCATGAAATCCCAGATATGTAGGAAATGAAAATAACATGATCAAGGTTGATAATTTGATTTAAACCACAGCTTACAAAAGACCCCCAAAATGAAAAAAAAAATAAACCCTAGAAGGCACTTTGGGAAAGATATAAGTTTAAGGATTGCATCTAACTGAGCAAGACAATAAATTGAAAATATATATATATATATATATATATATATATATATATATGAATTAAAACGAACAGCAGAAGACCTAAAAATTCAAACAGATAAAAAATTCATGTAAAAAAAGACATAAAAAAAAAAAACATTGATAATATAAAACAATGTACCTGGGCATCAAGCCATCAGGTTGAATTCCATGCTCAAGACAATAAAGCTCCCAACATGAATTTCCCACCTGAATTCCAGCTTGTCCAATATGAATACTAATCACCTCTCTCATCTTCTCTTTCTCAGTTTCTCTCTGTGTTGCCAATAAAAATCACAAGGAAGAGCAAACTGCAAAGGTGAGAGAAAGCATACAATATTTTTTTTAATATTTCTTTTCTTTTCTTTTTTAATATTTATTTTCTTTCTTCAAACACAATGAGTGAAGGATGGAAGGGATATTGTCATGTGTAAATTTAATGAGCTGTCTAAATTTTATATTTAGTGGGACCATATAATATCAAAATTATTGATTCCATAATCACTTAAATTTTTTAGTTAAATTGATATTTTTACTATGGGATCAAAGTTTTTTTATATATTATTTATGAGAAAAATATTTCTGCAATTAATGCAGATAAGTTATCTGCATTTATTTTCAAAAAGATATTATTTTGGTATTGAAATCTTAAAAAATTATAAATATAAATATTATTATAACTCTGGAATAAATTAAAATTATAAAAATATCATAATTTGTGTCTCAAAACGATGTCATATTGACTTCGAAAAAAACGAACCCATTATTTATAAAAAAGTATATATACAAAATATACTGATAACAAGTTCATGTGAAATTTATACATTAGAGTATCCACTTTTAGTGAAAGAAAGCCAAAAAATCAAAAGGTTACATTTACATACAATCTTTAACAGTTGATGAAAATCTTATATAAAAGAACAATGTTATGTTAATAATAAAGGGGACCCTCGTTTGGTGCCAAAAAGTAGGTGGAGATGAAGGGGCCATGCTTTTGGTCGGTTTTGCAACTTATTTGTGGGGGCACTTGTCCTTGTCGCTTTTGCTGTTCTTTCATGTCATGTCATAACACATAACAGCTCTTATTCTTCGTTCCTGAAATATCTGTTTACTTTGTGTAGCAGTAGCTGTAACTATCTTGGCATCTTGCATTTGTGACTTATCTTTCTCCTCTGAGACCTGTTACTCTGTTAGGCTACACTACTGTTGAGATTGCTTTGTAATCAATTGTGATGTGTGCCCTTATTTAATTTTTAATTTTTTTTAATTTTTTCATCATCAATTCATTAATTATTTAATTAATTCGATTAGACCTTTATATTTTAAGGATTATATTACTTTTTTGGAGTTATTCAACTCTAATTATCTCTTTGAGGCGAGTTGGCTCCTTCCGGTATCCTCACAAGCTTCGACTCTTTTAGTCGGCTATGGGACTAATCCGGAGTGCGGGAGGTCAGTGATGGCTAAAGGTTCAACCCTCTTCCCAAGAATGTATAAGGATTATATTACTCTCGTATAATAAAAAATATATCTTATTTTGTAAATATAATTATATGATAGGTCCCATTATTTATTAAAAAAAAAAGACACAAGAATCGATGAATCTGTAAAAAATTATATTAGTATAACCCTAATTTTACATAAAAAAAGGAAAAAAAAACAACATAACCCTAATTTTAATCACTGATAATTAATGATACTTTTTCGTGTGCTCTCTGGTACTTTTTTGTGTGCCCTTATTTAATGGTAATCAATGGTGGAACTGTGCTTTTTGTGTGCTCACTGATAATTAATGATTTTTTTTTTCCATTCCCTTGTTGAATTTTGGTATGGACACAATGAGATAATAGTACAGTTATTATAACACCATTTATCTTGCACACTAAAAAAAATACAATAATATTTTATACATAATTTTTTTGAAGATAATAGATATATTTTATGAGTGAACAAAAAATTACTTCTATTGTAGTAGAAAAATTGTACATTATCAAAATAATAGGTTGAGCACAATTGAGTTACTTTCGTAAAGAGAAAAATATATGGGAGTATTTAATATTAGTTTAGAAATTTTAGAGTATAAATAAATATCATAGAAAATAAACACGAATTGACATTTTGTATATAATAAATTTTTTTATATATATAAATCCTTGGAAGAGATATTTTTTAATAATGTATTATGAAAATAATAAATTATTATTACAATAATGTTTTATCTTGAAGATGCGACAATAGCTGGATTTGGGTGAGGTTGTATGAACCTTTGTCTAGTTGAGTGTAGAGATGTTTATTATAATACCTCACATATTTAAAATATAGTATTAAAGGTTTAATTGAGGATTAGATGATTTATTTAGTGAAAATTCTGAAATTCGGATGAAAATACACACGAAGGATAAAATGGTAATTTGAAAAATAAAGTAACCCTAAATTATGAAATGATATAATTAGACATTATTTGGTGAAAATAATATTGGATTTAGATTCAGAACGAAATTTGGAGTGGATAGACACTTTTCAGGAAAATTGATGAATAATAATTTTACCAGATAAATTACTGCGGTAAAATTCTACCAGGAAACTCAAATGAGATTATTGTTCTAGGATTGGAATTAGGTAAAATATCTAAGTCTTGAATTATTAGAGAAATTCAAGTAGGATAATTATGTAATTTGGAAATTAGATATTTTGTAACTTTATACAAAAGTCAATTAAGGTGGCTAAGCTTAATTAGTCTTGAAATTAGTTTATTTTGGCTTGTCTTCTTTGTATTTCTTCTCCTTTTGGCTAAACCTCCATAGCCATTGAGCTTGGATTTGTAACTTTTTATTTAGTCACCAAATCAAGAAACTTTGAACATGAAAAATACCTAAAATCACTTGGTGATCAAAACCTTATAAAGAAATCCTTGTGAAAGTATAGTTAGTTACCTCATCCTCATCAATGTGGAAGGTATAGCCAATGAGTTCCTCCCAATCCTTAGGTGTGACCTCTATAGAAACTCCCTTGACTCTGTATCTCAGTGTGCCGCGAAAATAATCCAAGTTCTTGTAGAACGCTCTAACAAGAAGCTCAGAGTACTGACAATGAAGCTCAGTGAACTTAAGCAATCCAACATCATCAAGTATACGGAGGATATCAAAATCCGGAGCATTGAAGAAGGTGGAGTCCAGATACTTTGACTCTAGGATGAGGTAGTTTGCAAATCATTCTATGAACGATCGAAACTAAGAGATATCATTATCAAAGAGGTGACCATACCCGAAGGTATCAACTGGAGCAGGAGTAGAAGCATCAACATCAGCTATCCTTTTTGTTCTTTTCTCACGATCAGCCATTAGAGATGGAAATGATTGATTAACACTCAAATGTAATGGAATAAACATTCAAGGAGTAGAAATCGAGAGAAAAGAAAACAATTTTGAGATGATGGGTAAGAACCAGAGGAAACCCTAGAGTCAGACGAAATGTAGATAGAAAGAAAAAAATGAGGGAAACTGGTCGATTTTCAAAATTTAAAGAGCCCTGCGCGATAAATATTCGGATATATGACTTTCTGTATCCGGATATGTGATATTCGAATATCATATCCAGATATAGTATTTGCAGTATCTGGATATATCCAGACAGATCAGAAACAGAATTGGATTTTTAATCCAATCTAAAGTACTTCACATCATATTACACACAGATCATTTCAAACACATTTAAGAATATGTATCAATGCATTCAAGTGTATTTTAAAAAAATTGACACTTATGTGATGATCAATATAGTGTGCAGACAAATACAATCATCAAGTGTATCAAATAATTTCTAAGGTAGTATCATACACACATGAACAAACATCATTTATCTAAGGTTTACAAACATCATATCTCAAATTTTGAAATTTCCAAGTTTGAGCACATGGAAGGAATGAGCAAGCAACCCTTATCTTGTTAGGCAAGCAATCAACAAACTTTCACTTTCTTACACATTTTTTATCTTTTGAATGTTCAAACACTAAGGTACTATTGTCTATGTATCTTTTACAGCTCCTTGCCTTTCCATTTGTGCTAGAAGGCAAATTGTCCAAAGGTACCTATATCACAACACATTTAACAAGCTTTTGGTATCCAAAGAGTTTTGGCTCCATATTTGTTAGGCTTGGGCAGTAGCTTTTCATGAGACAAAAGTGAGTGAAGAGTGCCCTTAACAACCCAAATTTGCTTATAGCTTTTCACATTTTTCTTATACTTGCAATGGTATGCATTATGACCTTTTCTTCCACAATAATTACATTTAACAAAAGGACTTTTAGCCATATAACCATGATGAACATGTGATGTCTTTTTAGCATATGAATGATGCATATTAGGCTTAACATAACCTAAACCATAAGTAACATGCGAGGGTCTTTGACTACAAAGAATAGCATCTAAATTCTCCCTAGCACATGTAAATTTTTCTAAGTCATCACTCAACCTTTTAACCTCTTCCTTACACTTTTCACATGTAGTACATGGTGTAAAAGATGAAGATGCACCATTAGATCTAGATAAGCATACAAGACAAGTAGCACTAGCATCAATCAACTTTAAGGTTTTATTTTCATCTTTTAAGTCTATAAGTTGTTCACTAAGTAATGCTACTTTTTTTAACAGTTCATTTATAAGTTCAATAACCCTAAGTTTCTTAGCATATAACATAACTTCTTCATAGAGTTCATTAAAAGCATTTTTTCAACTCATCATAAAAAGGATTGTAAGAAGAACAAATAAAACCTACCTCACTTTTTCATCCTCTTCTTTTGTCATTAATCATATATTAGCTTCCTCCTCACTTGATGAAGAACTTGAGCTTGAGGAGTCTTCATCCTAAGCCATGTAGGCTTTCCTTTCTTTCTTCTTGCCTTTAATTGCCCTTTTGTCACTTTTAGGCTTAGATAGAAGTGTTGGGCAATCATTCCTACAGTGGCCTTGCTTTCCCCATTCAAAACAAGTTATTTGGGCATTTGATGAGCTTGAATCTCCTTTTATCTTTCCTTGGACAACAGCTCCTTGTTTGCCTTTTTATAAATTTCTTTTATTAAAGAACTTGCCAAACTTCTTGATAAAGAGAGCCATTTGTTTGGGGTCAAAGTCCTCCTCATTTGAATCATCATCTTCTTTCTCCTTGGAGGTAGTGGACTTGAAAGCAATACCTTTGACCTTTTTCTTGGATAGATCTCTCAAGGCATGTCTCTTCTTCTCAAATTCATATTCTTGAAGCTTTTTGAAAGAAGTGGCTATTTGCATTGTCTCCAAATCCTTTGATTCAGATATAACCGATACTTTAGCATCTCACTCCTTGCCTTAAGATCTTGT